TCTATATGAAATACCTGCACTAAAATGATAAACTATACATGCATTTACTGTGTTATTTGTGGTGTTACTAAGCATTTTAGTTTTGTGATTTCTTTAAAAGAATAATATGAACATATGTAATTTGCTTTGGGTGCTGCATGTGTTGGAAGCAGGTGCTGTGTATGTACATTAGTTAAACTAGAATATTGATTGTTTCCTGACAATGTTTCATGTTTAAATTTTGTCATTGATAGCAGGTGCACTTTGCATTTTCCACAATAAGTAAATGAAATTATTTATTTTTGCTTGGAATAACATTATAATTAATACTTATTCACACAAGAACCATTATAACTTTCATATTGTTCAATGACTCAAGGTAAAAGACGCTTAACATTCCACTTGTCATCTTCCTTTGTAAAGACGATTCTATCATCAAGCCAGTCAGTGTGGCCTTGAAAGAACTCAATGACATTTGGCAGAACAATATAAGCTCTCCAGCTCTCTGGCAATGATATACGTATTGAAGGATCACTGTACTTTTGAGCTATTTCTTTCCTTTTCTCAATCATTGCCTTCCTGCTAGCTATCGGTTTATCCTGATGGTTTAGCACAAGTGTGATCTGGTGTTCTCTTGATAGAGCATTGAAATATCCAGCTGCTATCTCCTTGCTGAGCTCCTTCACTGTCCCTTGTATGCGTATCTGACGAACCAAAGGTTGAATGTATAGGGTCAGAGCAACTGCTGGATTGGCTGTAAATTCCTTGACTTTCCTACTCCTGCTGTCAGTGTAAAATGGAATGCCACTTTCTCGAAGTCCACAGAAATTAAGGTAGCGACAAGAAGGGATGCAATCTGAGCTTACAGTGGATAAAGACATTAGAACTGAGTCTGTAGCATCTTTCTCTTCATCAAGCCATTTCTGAAGCTGGAGCAACGGGTTGTAAGGGACTATTAGGTCACTTTCTGTAAATGTAAGAAGCTTCGCCATAATCACAGAAATCGGTGTAGTGATTGAATAGGCTGCACTCTTTTATAGTGATCAACACCCACACAACTTTATTACTTGGTTATTTTTTAAATATTTCATCATACTTTAATTTTAAAAATAGTTTTAGCTCTTCATTACTTGTTAGCTGCATTTGTTTGTCCTGCTGTAGTTCATGGAGCAATAGTTTCCTTGTTTCATTTGCCTTTAGTGCTGTTTCCTTTATAATCCTCTTATCTGCTAATTCTGCTCTAAATATGACATAATGTTTAAACTATGATTCTTGCCTTGAATTGATTTGATTTCATTTGATACAAATTGTCTCAGTATTTGATCAGCTTGGTGCATTAGACTTTCTGATGTTATTCTCTGAGATTCAGCCTATTTATTAGAATAATAATAGCAATAGACAATTATTCTTCTTACTCTTTCAGCAGTCAAATCAAGTTGAGGCATTTGAGGATCTTCTATTGCATCTTGACACAATTTAAGGATTCTACTACTAAAAAATAGACAATAAAAATGAACAGATTTTCTTTAGTAACTAACCATGCAGTTTCAATCCATTCTTTGTCATTATTTGTTGAATCAATAGTGATTGCATGTCTCTCCCAATTTTCTTGAGGTGGTTCAATCCTCTGATAAATGTTAACTATAGTTTGATGTGGTACAGGAAATGGTCTAGTAGAGTTCCTCTTTATAGCTGAATCAAGTTGACAGCTCAAGTACACCAATGCAAACCCACATGTATCTATATAGCAGATAAAAGGAGCAAAAAGGAGAAAAATGTTCATTCATAGATAAAAGAATAAATGGGCATGTATAAGTCTCTTACATTTCCTTGCAATTTGGACAAATTCTTTCCTCATGCTTCTAAGATGAAGATTGTCGTCTATTATTAACAACTTGATTACTTCATTCTTTTCTCCCTCCACTTTTATTTCTCCTCCGGTGCTAAACATTACGTTGGATTTTCCACTCAAATATTCGTCAATATTTTCTGTTACAATATGCCTGTACTGTTTCCAGTCAAAATCATCATTAATACTTTTAATCACAAATGAAACTAAATGGTCTAGTCCACTAAGAACTTACAATTCATCACTATTTTTTTCACTGCCTTCTCTCTCATCCGTAGGATAATAGTCATCCATGCAAATATGAACAATATCAAATTGAGTCGATTTCGTTTCACGATGCTGATCAGAGTGTTCCTGGCTGCTTTTCCTTAAAACAAGCTCACGTGAGAGAGTGGTCTTTCCGGAGCCTGGTATGCCAAAAAGGAGTAATATGCATGTATGAGAAGATCTGAGAGAAAATTCATAAAGTGATAAAATGAGCTCTCACCTTGAAGGTTGATTAGAGGAAGCCATTTAAAAGGCGTGGTCGTAAGGCGTGGCTGATTTAAGCATGGCAGCCAACGGGTCCACACAAATTACAGCACAAAATCCAAGTATATCTTTACTGCAGACACTCCACCTATCCAGTCACTCGGAGCTAGAGGTAGACTCTGATGGGGAGATCGAGTTCATATCAGAATCAGGCGGGCATTCTGGTGGGAGGAGAAACGGAGAGAAGATTCCATTAATAAGAGGACAATCTAGTGAAGATGACACCAAGTAATGGGGCTCTTAATTTCCCTCCTAATTATATAATTGTACTTGGTATAGGTTAAACCTGTTTGAAGATCCAGAATATTCATCAGTGATAGAATCAGCCGAGCAGGCAATCAATGAGGGAGTCCTACCAGAAAGAATATACCAAGGATCAAGTGGAAGCTATTTTGTTCATAATTCAAATCAGGTAATGCATTAATACTCGTTATTTTTAACCATGTTAAATTAAGTAGTCAATTAATGGTCCTACAAAAGCATTATAATTTTTACCACTAATAATAATAATAATAATCATAATAATTGATAGGAGAATATTGGTGTTTTCAAGCCTAAAGATGAAGAGCCATACGGTCACCTTAATCCCAAATGGACAAAATGGCTGCACAAGACCTGCTGTCCGTGTTGCTTTGGGCGAAGCTGCCTCGTACCTAATCAAGGGTATCTCTCTGAAGTAGGAGCTAGTATTGTCGATGAGAAGTTAGGACTTAATGTCGTCCCCAAGACTAAAGTAAGTATTGAGCCATTGACTTATTTATTGATAATATTTGATATGCAAGTTCTCTCCATGACATTTTGGCATTATTATTTTAAAATGCTCATAACTTGAAAAATTAAAGTCGGAATCAGCTCAAACTTTCTACACAGCATAAGGGCATCAATATGTATCAGAAAATGTAATAAAAATTGGGGGTGATTTCGGAGCCATTTTTTGGAAAAAACCATGGGCTATAGCCTTGGGTATTTTTCAGATTTTGGCTAATTTTTTTAAATGGCCGTAACTCGAAAAATTGAAGCCGGAATCGACTCAAACTTGCTACACAGCATAAGGACATCAATATGCATCAGAAAATGTAATAAAAATTGGGGGTGATTTTGGAGCCATTTTTTGGAAAAAACCATGGGCTATAAGCCTTGGGTATTTTTCAGATTTTGGCTCATTTTTTAAGATGGCCGTAACTCGAAAAATTGAGGTCGGAATCGACTCAAACTTGCTACACAGCATAAGGGCATCAATGTGTATCAGAAAATGTAATAAAAATTGGGGGTGATTTTGGAGCCATTTTTTGGAAAAAAACCATGGGCTATAGCCTTGGATATTTTTTAGAACTTGACCCATTTTTAAAATTGTTCATAACCCAGTCAGAATCAGCTCAAACTTTCTACATAGCTTAAGTACATCAGTATGTATCAGAATTAGTTTAAATCATTTTATTTTTAGTTGGTGTATTTGTCTTCTGACTCATTCCATTACCATCTTAAAGATCGGTGTGTTATGAGAATTAAAAGAGGCGTGGCCAGTTTATGGCCTAATCTTAACATGAAACTACAGTGGCCAAGAAAGGCAAGCCTGTGTTTTAAAGACTATTATTTTAGGAGTTCTTTTTTAACTGATCTATTCACAGGTTGGATCCCTACAGTTATTTGTTAATGGCTATAAAGATGCCAGTATCATATTAGACGAATTCAAACAGTCTCCTCCACCCCCTCACCTTCAAAGGCAACTCCAACTTCAGTTTGAGAGACTAGTAGTGTTGGATTACATCATACGTAACACAGGTCAGACAATAATCTGTACCCTACCCCCATATAACTGTTTCCCACAGATAGAGGCAATGATAACTGGCTGATTAAATATGAGAAACCACTAGTGAGTGAATCTTACTATGCGTTGATGATGTTATACGGTATCCTAATTTAGGAAGGCAGCGAGACTGATTCCTCTAATAGAAATGGCTCTGTTAAACTGGCAGCCATTGATAATGGATTGGCCTTCCCGTACAAACACCCCGACGAATGGAGAGCTTGTTAGTCTAACCATTTAATAAGCAAATTAGCTTTATTTTTATGGCCTATCCAACTTTGTCACTGTAAAATTATATTGCAGATCCTTTTTATTGGGCATGGCTACCACTGGCTAGGGAGCCATTTTCTGAGAATATCAAAGAAGCTGTCCTGGATAAACTAAAGGACTTGCAGTTTGTGCAGTCCATGACGGATGAGATCAGAGCTGTTTTCTCTGTAAGATTCCTACCATTTTAAAAAAGAGAAAAAATGATTTGTGTGTTATTACGTAGAAAGATAAAGGTTTTGATAGAGATATATTTGATAAGCAAGTTGCTGTAATGAGAGGACAAGTAAGTCAATGATGATGTTTATTCGTAAATTATTCTCTCTCCTATTTCTTTTCTTCACAGATTCTTAACCTAACTAATGCTTTGGAGCAGCATAAGTCACCTTGGCAGTTGGTCCAAATGCCACCAATTACAATAGAGCGAGTGAGGATCGGCCGAACAAAGAGATTCATTCAACATGTCAGAAGTCAGCCCCCATTCTTCCAATGGTGCTGACAGAATGACCTTTATTATTATTATTATATTAACGATTGTGATTTTTATAACTTTATTCAAATTTAAAATCAACTCCTCTCTCTCTCTCTCTCTTAACATTATGATATTATTATATAATTTATGTGATTGTTTATCTGTTTTTGTGTATCACTGTTATCATTAAGGCTCGCAGAAGGCCTGGTTGGCTTTTCTTAAAGCTCTGTTGGCCTCATGAAGGAAGGTATCTTGAGTGATTTTATTGCTTTGGCCTCCAATCGGCTCTTTATTGAATTTGACGAGTCCAACATTCAACATGGCATGTGTGTACTGTTCTAAGCTAATATAGCCACGTGTCTGGATATCCAGCATCCTAAACATTGCCTTTAGGTTCTCCTCGTCCAGTAGTGGTAGTCCTTCTTTCTTTTCTTTCATTTGCTGGAGATGATCTATGATGAATGCTTTAGGATCATCAGGTGTGTTGTACAGGACCCATGAAGCAAGCTGCTCTAGTAGTTCAGGGATGTGATGAGCTGAAAGGTAAGCTTCTGCAGCTTCTAATCGAGAGAAAACCACACAAAGAAGTGATTTAAATCCTTTTTATTTTCTTACCTGTAGCCGCCATCTTGTTTGTTGCTAAGGCCGTTACTAGGTGGAGTAGTGGGCGGGGATAAAGGGGTGTGGCTAACCTGCAGATAATGATTTCTTTCTTGCAAGTCTTGAGCTGGATAGCATTACTTGGTGAACTGCTAGTAGGCGTTTTCTCATTGGGTAAGACACTGCACCTGCTCTACTCACCTAATTATGACCCTTTGTGTTTTCTGATCTGTTACCACAGCTGCTGGTTTATATTACTTAGCTGAATTGATTGAAGAATATTCAGTGATTGCTAAGAAGGCTATCTCTGGATTGACTATAGTAAGAGGGAACAAGAGAACTTGCAAATTAATTACCGATATTAACTATTGACAGTTCGTACTCTTATGTCATGTTGGTTTGCTCCTGTTTGATGGGTTTCCATGGTTACTGATATCGGCAGGAGTGCTATGCCACCTCTGCTATGCTTCCTTGCTGTCGACTTTTCCTAACATCAGTTTAATGTCACTCGGCTTTATTGGAGGAACTAGTAAGATATAATTTTAGATATTTTGTAAACGCCCTCCTTCCTTCTCTCTCTCTGAAGTATTTTTAGTTGCCAGTCATGTTTTAGCTTTCCGATACTTCAGTGAGGAGTGGTACACTTTTCAAGAGGTTTGTGTCTGGTTTAATCCTCTTAATGTCATTCCCATCCTCAGGTTGTTGCTTTCTTCTTTGTATGTGAATGGGTTGTTCCTTTCTCTCTCTTCATATCACTGTCAGCTAATGACCTGGTACTGCCTACTCTCCAAACATCATCAGGTATTAGTGCATTAGAGCCCATTGGTCAACATAATTCAATCAATACTCATCTCATCCACCTATACACTTACAATAGAGATGTCTGTTGTACATTTTCTGATATTTATTGATGTTCTTATGCTATATAAAAAGTTTGGACTATTCCTGACAATTAATTTTTAAGTTATGAGCATTAAAAAAATAAGCCAATTTCTGAAAATACCCAAGGCTATAGCCCATGATTTTTTTTGCAAAAAATGGCTCCAAAATTACCCCAAATTTTTATTACATTTTCTGATACATATTAATGTCCTTATGCTGTGTGGAAAGTTTGAGCTGTTTCCAACTGAAATTTTTAAAGTTTTGAGCATTTTAAAAACTTATAAAAACATGACAGAATCAATAACTGTTTTACGAGCATTTTTTTATTCCTGATCCTTAATATTTAATTTCTTATGTACACTTGGTCTGGAATAAGATTAATGCTGTGGTTTAATCCACCTGCACTCTCTTACAATAACTCTATCAACAGGAGCAGGTGGTGGTGATGGAATGGAGCGGAGACAAAGGAGAAGTGGATTCCTGGCACTGGTTGACATCTTGTCACAAAAGATTAGCAACATCACGCCAAGCAGAACATCAAAAAGATACTGAATTGCACACAGCTGCACAATATTGCAAGAATCACACACACACACACACACACACACACACACACACACACACACACACACACACACACACACACACACACACACACACACACACACACACACACACACACACACACACACACACACACACACTCCTCTCTCTCTCTCTCTGTGCCTTGTACTTTATGACTTTGTTTTGCACTGAGATGAGTACAAAAATTAAATTTTCTTTTAAATAATAATAGTAATAATAACAATGTTATAAAGTTGAAAGAGAAAAGGTACTTTTTTACATTGCAAGAGGCGAACACATTCGAATAGAAATAACACTTAAAAGTGAGACAACAATGAGAGAGGAGCAGCAAGAAGCATTAATGGTTGTGCATTTGTTAGCAGAGAGAAGAGAGAGGGGGGAAAGGTGTGTGTATGTGAGAAAGACAGAATACGAGAGTGAGAAGGAATGGAAGTGAAAATGGAAAGTGAGTCGCTAATAATAATAATAATAATAAATTAAATAATAATAATAAGCTACACATAATAATAATAATAATAATAATAATAATAAATTTTACCACACTAGTCATCAAATGATTCATCAAGGTTGCTGTTCGTGAAACAGGTAGAGGTTATTAGTGGCAGCAATCGCTAGGATATTGTCCCTCGGGTGCCACACTGGATGTAATATCTTCCTAGCATAATCTAAGTTATCAACGGAGACTTCGTCCTTGCGTTTCTTGGGGGCGGTGTTTGAAGCGACGACCTTTTTATTTCTGAGGATTTGACCAAGTGTGTTCATATCTCTTGATGCTTCGTACGTGTAGCTATGACCAGACTGGCGATCAAAAATACGAAAGAAATTGTTATAAGTACCAGTGATGATTTGACTATAAAGAAATGGAATGTAACAACAAGAAAAGAAAATAGACAAAGAAGGAAAGTAGAATAGAGAGGTACATAATGCAAACAAAGGGCAAAAGAGAATTCATAACATAAAAATTGTTTTTAAAGTCCATTGACTATAGTTTACACATGTGCAGGCTAGCCAATCAAAAATAGATATTTATGTATACATCGTTAATCCTAACCACCCTCCATTAGAATTGGCTGTCACTTGTGACCACAAACACGCCCACACAATAATGCATATACGTACATGCACATGTCCATATTGCTGCCAATAAGTTATTGCGTTAACACACGTAATGTGCATGTTTATTTGCACTAGTGCACTGTATTAATGGATAATAGTACAGTACTGTATGGAGTGTATATACATGTATATGTACCTGTCATCTCCGTTAAATCCACACTCAAACTTGTCAAAAATGCAGTCGTTCTCGTACAGCGAACAGAGTCTGCTCCTCAGGTAGTCGTGGACCGGGTACACTTCAACCGGTCGGGACTCCATGGCAACATCCCATAGTTTCACCGTAAGGTAGTCGCGCGAGAGAATGTATCGGCCGCTCCTGCTGAAACGAACGTCAGAAATGGAGGCTATGATTTCAGAGAAAAACGAGCGACTACTTGGATCCTCTGGCTCTTCAAACACTGGAAGAGAGCAAAAATAGAATATATACACATAGATACTCTATTCACAGATACATAGCATTGCTTATATGTACACATGTAGATTGTGATTTACTCACACTTAGCATGTTGATCACAGAGGGCTTTCTCTCTCATGTCGCACAGTCTGATTGTTCCTTTGCTGCTTGAGTATATGAACTCGTGGCAATTGAACGGGTGGAATTGGGTGGCTGTTATAACTTCGGTGAGCTCTTCCATGTTAGCTGGTTTAATGTCGACAGCATCTGAGAGAGGCAACATGGTTAAGAAATAATAATTGTATGGGATACTACAACACTAATAATATACTTGATCGATCATAGTAAAAATAATAATTATAATCATGTACTCTGATGCCAATACCACCCACTAACAGTAGTACAGCAGCATACTAACAATATATAATATTTAAATCTAGGATTTCTCTTTAATATAAGGTGGAATGTGACACATAAGAGTTATTCTTAGAAATGAGAGAGTAATTTGTAGAAATTCTACTATAACAGGCAGTAATGCAAATACCTTCATGATCATTCTGTAATACAATACCACTAGTAGTGCATGTAAAGTAGAAAACACACCAAATCTTACTACATAAAATACACTAGCTATAGCAATACTTTACTTAATAACTACACATTAGAACATTATGTACATTCTACATAAAATACCCACATTACATCTACAAAATCTAACCCAATACACTACACTACAGTAAATATCTCTTCTAGTAATTACAGCACACTATTAGATATACGTCCTATCATTATCGACCACAATTACAATTAAGAGAGTTAGGATACTAAAACTCTGCCCGGTTGTTTCAATGTGCCACACGTTAATTCTGAGGTCATCGGCCGAGAGAAAGGTGCAGTCATCGCTGTTGACTGATATCGAGTTGATGTGATATGTGTGAGCGTTTGAGAAGATCCTTCGAGGTGCTGCTTCAATTGAGATGTCATCGTCTATTTTCTTGGGTATTCTAAGCTTCTTAATCATGTGTCTCTCTCTGAGGAGGCCTTCGTCTGTGAATGTGTTAAAATCTGAGAACCGTCTACACCTCTCTGTTATCTTCCATAGTTTGATTGTTTTATCTGGAGAGAGAGAGAGAGAGAGAGAGAGGGGAAAAAGAGAGGGGGGAGAGAGACAGAGGAAAAGGAATGGAAAAAAAGAGGGAAAGAAAGAAAGAGGAAATGGGTTGCAAGAATGAAAGTAACACATACACGCACACACACTTATGAACAAAAGAAGGAAACAAGATTAGATCGGGAAAGATTTTTACAATAACATACATATCATTACCATTAGTAGTTAGTAAGAAAAGTGACGACCCTGTCTGCTTTACCCAGCAGATCTGATTTATCTTCTCTTCAATTTCTAAACTCTTCAGATAGTCAAATTCCGGCTCGTGGCTTTGGAAGGTACTGTAGACATTGTAGTCACATCTGAAGACAGACGAGGCCGTTACACTGGGTTTGTTAGCTCCCTGTATCAATAAGAGGAGCATAATAATTAACAAACACACAAGGAGAGAATAAGGAAAAATGTGAAGAGAGTCAAAGTATAGGTAAGTTATAGTATAGGTATTAAAATGAGAGAAAGAGAGAGGGGGAAGATTGAGAATGCATGCATGCCTGGTTGCCCACACTGCATGTCATCATAGGAAAGTATGGTTGATATTTGAAGAGAAAAATTTGAAGTATTTAGATAAGGTGGCTTACTCTGGTTCCATCCCTCTGAAATACAACCACTCGACCTCCTTTGTCACCAGTGGCTAGGAATTCGCCATCTTGATTGAACTCAACGGTTGAAATTATATCAGCTGCAAAATAATAATAATAATAATCATCAAAAAGACACGTGTATGATTATACAGCAAAATTGGGAAACATATTAAGCCAACTATATATGTACAAGTATTTTGTAAAGTATACAGTCCTCATTTAAGAGGTACTTTTGTATAGTAAATTGGCAGATTAACAAAATGTCCTCATTATAAAGGTGTCCTTATTACAGACGGTACTTACACTGAATATACACAAGTATACATATTAATAAAATTTCCATATGTAGACATTATAAAACCACTCAGATAGCAGTAACTATCTACATTCTATAGAATTAGAATAAAAGGTTTCAGATTACATTTAATCCTCTTTTTTGGACAAAATTGACAGCATGCAAATAATAATACTCATCTTCTAAGATGACATACAGTTTTATGCTGACTAAACCATTTTCATATGTCTATTTGCAATGTAAGAAGATTCATTCTACATTTATTCATTACCATCTGCTACTTCGTCTTCAATGGTGCCTTTTACTTGAGAGAAGCACCACGGGATTTCATCACCTGATGATGCTACTCTCCCTAAGGTAAGAGGAACAAAGCAAGCATATGAATGAGAGAATGATTTGTAATAGATTATACAATATGGTGTGTATAAACACTGAGATTTGACAGTTCCTAAAGTATAGTGTGTTTAAGACTGAGGTGCGTAGTGTATGTGCCCTCTTCCGCCTCCCCCTCTCCATTCTCCCTCTCTCGTATTTCATTTTTACCAGATGCAGCCATGCTCCTCGTCCTCTCTACAAAGCGGCAGGGCTGGATAAGGATAGATGACGCCTAAGACTATTGTTTCCGCCCGACTCAATGGAGAGATGTAGCTGTTGTGGCCCTCTAAGCTTCTCTGGTCTTCTCCTCCCTCAGAAGTCTCCTGCAGCCATTTTGTTTCCGGTACAGCAGGTTAACGTCGCGTGGGAGGTGGTCTAATTGGATCACGTGATCAAAACATGTGGCAAGAAAGTGAATGAAAAATTGGTTACATTTTACTATTTGGCAGATAATTTTTCAGCCTGTGTCACTTTTGCAAAAAAGTTGATAATGACTAAAATAACGTTATTCAGATAATTTTTGTACAGTTATCTCTGCATTCTGCAAACCTGCAAGCTCAGATGCGTGGGAGTTTACTGATGTGAATGCGCTATATGCGTGGGAGGCTGAACTAGCAGTGGTGCACTTTAATTAGAATAAAACCGCTTGAACCGGGCGTGAGTGAGTGAGCATAGATACTAATTATGAACGAAGAGTAATGTCCTTATGGCGGCTCTTGACTTTAACTATCATACTCTTATACTTCTCCGCCATTATACTCTTCTTAACTTACCAACCCTCGCCCTTTGATACCACAGCGCTTTACCCTCCGACGCCCTGTAAATGTCCCCAGATTTTAACACTAGCTCCAGTAACTACACCGTCAGAGCCAGCTACTACTCTATCAGAATCTCCTCCAACTTCTCCTCCTCGACCTCTGCACACACTGGCTGTGATGGTTCCCTTTCGGGACAGATGGGAGGAGCTGACAGAGTTTGTACCTTACATGCACAAGTTCTTGAACAGACAAAATGTATCTCATGAAATATGGGTAATAAACCAGGCAGACAAGCATAGGTAAGTATAATAATGTACAATCAATCAAGTATCTACTTATGGTACATGCATAGCTATAGATTTGGGCTAGGGTCTAGTTATTTTTAAAATAATGTATTCCCGGTTTAAAGAGTTAGATTTAGGAAATAATAGTAAAAATAATTATTATTGATTTTTCTGTTAATTTAATGAGCCCTGTTTTGTTGCTTAAAAATCATTATTTTATTTTTTATAGATTTAATAGAGCCATGTTGATGAACTCAGGGTTCATGCTAACAGAATCATGCTGTGATTATCTTGTAATGCATGATGTTGACCTCCTACCACTCAACGATCACCTCAGCTATGCATATCCAACTGACTATAGTCCTTATCACATATCATCTCCGGAGCTCCACCCTCTCTATCATTACAAAAAATTTGTCGGCGGAGTATTAATGATGACTAGAGAGCATTTTAAAAGGGTAATTTAAATTAATTTTTTAGTTATACATTTTTAATTTAATGCTTAAAGACAACCAATGATTTCATTGTTTCTATGTAAATGTGATTATCTCTTTTTTTCCCAAATATTATTATCAGTATTTTCAAGGAATTACCACAAACAGAAGCAATCTGGTATTAATGCATGTATGTTGTTGCTTTAAGATGTAGTCTGGTTGGCACAATGTATTGTTTATTATTATAAAGAAGCTAGAAACAAGAAGCCACAGATAGCCCATAAATGAAGATTGCAAAGTGTAATATGGTACAACTAAGCTTGGCTATAATTTTGCTCAATATGGCGGTACATGACGTAGTGTGATGACTATAACTGATCTCATATTGTGCGTTTTAGTCAATTTCTTTTACTGGCCCTATCATTTGTAGCAAACTTTGCTATTATAATAGTTTGTGCACAAGGCTTTAGCGTAACAGTACTCAGCTTCTAACTATTTTTGGCTAAATTTTGCCAAAATTATGAAGGAGGGAATTCTCAATTTTTATAATCTTTACTGATGATATTTATAAAGTTTGAGCTGATTCCAATCAAAATTTGATTTTTTACAAATTTTTAAAATTGTTCTAAAATCAGGCCAAAGTCCTTTTACTACAGTACATGGTCTAGGGCCAAATTTTGTCAAAATTGAAAAGGAGAGAATTCTGTGTTTTTATAATTTTTCCTGATGCATATACATGTTCTTATGTTGTGTAGAAAGTTTGAACTGATTCGAATTAAAATTGGATTTTTTAACAAATTTTGAAAGTTACTCCAAATTTCATGTACTAGTTACTACTATTGTAAGTGTTGTCAGCTCGTGAAGCATGATGCTGTTTAACACTTAGGCTGCTTTGTGGGGGAAGCACTGTTTGTGCATTCATATAGTGATGTTGTTACTGAAAAAATATTTTTAAAATTATCATTCTTCACCTTTTGTGTTGAGTCTTTAGCTCCAATTAACTTCTGGTCACACTCATTCTTCCTTCCTCTATCCAGGTCAATGGACTTACTAATATATTCTGGGGCTGGGGCAGAGAAGATGACGAACTTTATCTAAGAATTAAAGAAGCTGGACTACAGGTAATACAAAAATGGTATTGAAATTAATTTCTTGTATGATCTTGATTTGTGATATTGTGACACTATGAACTTTGACACTTTGACTTATGAACTTCTTATTCACATTATACTTTGTATCAGTTACATAGACCAGCTGGTATTACAACTGGTAATAAGACATTCCGGCACAATCACGATCGCAAGGTCAGGCCAAGAGACATGAAAAGCTATGGAACACAATGGAGGGTTAGTTTATGCATGTTGGCATGCATTTTGTAAAGAGTTTTAGATGAATGTACTGGTGATAAATAATGATGTTATTTCTCATTATTGAAGTGTTATAATGACACTATTTAACTACTTTATTACTGATTGCTATTTCACACTTCACACTCTTCCTACAGCTATCAAGACGAAGAGATAGAGAAAGTGGTCTCCACACTTTAAAATTTGAAGTACTCTCAATCCACAATATGTCCATCAATGGGGCACCATTCAAACTAGCAAATTTAGAATTGCACTGCGATTATCAGAAGACACCTTTTTGTGATCACCCGTCGTAAGACGAAAATTAATTAATTTTTTACAGGCAATGTATTATTATTTTTGTAAATAATTATCAAATTGAAAATGTAATAATTATATTAAAATGATTTTTTGAAGTCCTTTCTGTTCCTGCTACTGCATTAATTGGAATCCTTCAGTAGCCAGACTTTCCTGCCATTGAGCTCTTGTACTTTACGATAGTTGAATGGTAATGGTGATTCTGAAGGTAGTGTTGACCACCTTTGGACTACATCATCAGGGACGCTCAGGATCTGGTGGAAGACAAACCACTGTACAACCTCGCTGCATGGTGGAGTGGTCAGTGAACCACCGTAATGCCAATAGGACTTGTTTGCTGGCAATAGCTGACTTGGGGTGACCTAAGAATGGATGCATTCAGCATTACAGCAACAATGAAATACATTTGTTAACACTAGTGGAAGTACTACTATTGATTACTTTGATGATGAATTCTCATCAACCTCTCAGGCAACAATACATTTGCTTCAATAGGATTGCATTAGATACAATGTTGATTTAGAAGTACAAGACATTTTTGCCTACCTCAATCTCAATCTTTTTGTCAACTTGAGGCACGTTTTTCAGTGCTTCCCACACCTCTCCTCCCCCTTGTCCCTTGGATCGTTTCAAAAGCACACCAAGAACAGCAAACTGATCAGGAGCATTTGGTACATTAGACGTAGGGCTTTCCTTCTCGTGCACAAAATGCAACTCGGCATCATATGAGCTCCCATCCACGAGGTGCTCAGAGCCACAGCCTGGCTGGTCTCCCCAGTGAAAATGAAACTGTCTCAATATATAAGCACCACCATAGGTAACAATGCTTGGAGCTGGCCCTGATGGGTCAAAGCGTAGGCTGTGACTGGTTCGTGTCCAGGTTCCTTTGAGCTTCTGCTCGTAGCCCTTGAGGATAAGCGGAGATATTTCAGGACTTTCTTTAGTGTCTTTTGTTGGTATGTCAATTGGAGATTGATTCAGGCCATTGCTTTGTGAATTTGGTAAGTGACACCAGCTCTCTTGATCTACATAATTCCAACTGGAGCAAGACATTTTGCCAATAACTCCACTGGATATTATCCTCGACCTTAAGAATGCCTTGGAAGATAAATGACAAGAGGCTTTTAAAGAATGAAAGAGCAGCATGATTCAGTAGCCACACCCTTCTACCAGACTACCTCCCAGCAGTTATCGAGTAATTATTTAATACTATACATGTATGGTGGATAATGGTATATAGAATTATAGTGATATATATATACATGTACATATTTTAGTTCTTGTTCGTTCTACGAACCTTTGATTGTATGTCTTTCATTATATCTTCTGAACCTATGAAAATAAAAGCATATGCATCAATCAGCAAGTCCAAAAATACACTTAGTTATTGCATTACCTGGAGCCATCCTGTCAATGAACGCTTGCCTTCTCCGAATCTCAGCACTTCTTTGAAACGACAAGTTCTGCAATGGGAAAAATTTGTAATGCACAACATTACATGTACTAGTTATACATTGGATGCCAATGGGAGTTGATCCAATGGAGAACTTGTTAGAAAGCCATTGTCTTCAGTCTGTAAATGCTTTGGGAGCTCTTTCGTTACTTTCATGCTGTTACTGCCTTTAGATGGAAAAGATTTTAATGCAGGAGAGTGAAGGGTGAGCTTATTCTCCTTGTCACTGTTTGTCAGAGGCTTCTTCGAGTTATTCATACTACAGCTAGTTCGTCCCTGTTGCTTTTGCTGTCTCTTTCTACTAGTCCGTTTGTGCTTTGGTGAAAATGACTCAACTGTGCAAAAAGAGTTGCTATGAAGAGAACTGACTCTCTGAGTATCTTCTTCCCCCCTAGCCTCTTTAGTGTGATCTGTAGTGAATGTCTGTTGCTGATGAGGATCTATTTCTGTCTGACCAACTGTTAAAAAACTTTGAGCTAACATGTCAACAGACGAGGAGCGATTACCAATCAAACTTGTGTCAATTTCATGAGAAACTAGTTTATCATTATTGCAACTAGTGAAACTACCATCAACAGGAGTATCGCCTTGAGAATGTGAATCTTTTAGATGACATTCAGTAATATTTGAGGCTTCAAAGTCTGTCTCAGGATATCTTTCTTTTAACTGTGCAAGCCTCTCCATCATTCTTTTCAGTTGCTCCTCTTGACTGGCTGATACTCTTGTAAATTCCTTCCTTAGCACATCAAAAAGTGAAACTATCTGTTCAGAGAAACCGTCTAACTTGCACTCAAGTTTATCCAGCTTTTCAGTGTGTGCCAAACACTGAGAACATACCTGTCAAGAAAAATTATGCTAATTCCACAGAGTTTGAGCCGAACTTATTGCTTAACCTCATCTAACTTCTCATCAATTCCCTGTATCTTTAAACTGAGCTCATTGAAATTCTTATCAATGTCCTGTCTAGTGGAGAGACCAGTGCTCTGTGCCAAAGCAACTAGCTCCTTTAGCTCTCTGGTATGCTCACTAAAAGCTATAAAAATAAATTAGGAGGAGTTTCATACTCTTCATGATAGTATCATAGTTTATTTTTAATGCCAATACTAACTATTTTGGTAAAATGTGATGTGCTCCTGAAAGTCAGATTTTAATGCTTCTTTTAACTCAGTCACAGTTGAAATTATCTATACAAATATTAAAAGCATTAAGTATTAAATACTTACTTGTTTCTTAGACTCTTCTGTTACTTTCACAACTTCATCAATGACAAGATTCCTTATATTAACCAGATATCATTATACATGGTTTCTTACTCTCTCTCCTTCTCATTAATCATACCTCTCTTCTGCTTCTTTTCGTTCATCTTTCCATTTTTGGTAGACTGATCTCGTATCTTTGTCTTTAGTACCTTCATCTCTCTCCATTGATTCTTGAGCAGCAATATATCTCATGTAATACTTTGAAAACTGAAACAGCAATAAAATGAACATAATAATAAATAATAATTACTTTTCGAGCTCCATTGCCAGCCGCTGTGTTCTGATGTGAATAATTTAAATGCGGGGTTTTATCAGTCATGACTAACGGCTCTCTTCTCTCTCCATCAGTGAAAATATTATCTATTATAAAATATTTATAAATAAACTCAATAGCACCTGTACTTGATTCAAAATTTAATGGTGGTTGAGAGAACAGGTCTAAAGACTTCTGACTGTACTGACTGAGCTGTGTATTGCTATCACTAGTACTCATTGAGCTGGAAAAGGATCCTGAGTGACGGTAAGAGAGGTCTGGCTCATTATTTTGATAAAGTATCCCAGGAGAAACTTTGTTCAGTATCATGCTATTTCCGTTCATCACCGTAAAACATCCTTGTTTTAATTGCCATAGTAACAATATAAATTACGGAGGGTATCCTGTAAGTTATTATAAGTTATGAATGAAAAATGGCAGAAAAGAGGGCATATAGGAGAGGCCCAGCAAAGCCTTGGAGCACCAGAAAAGTGGTCATGCTGAAAGCTGACAGAAAAAAGTTGTGAGTCTTTGCATGGATGAGTATTAAATATTATTTTAAAATAAAATGCCTGCTTCAATAGTGATGCATCTCCAGAACTGAGCCCGTTCTCAGCTTTGTTGCAATCCAGAGAAAAGTATGTCTGCACTGCACTTTTCTTTTGTGATAATTATTTCAAAGGAAAAAAAAATCTGCTGCTGATTGTGATGGAAGCTATACAGATACAGTGCCCATACCTAGCAAATCTCTTTGTGAAGAAGAGAAAATTGTGGAAAGCAAAGAGGAGAGTGTTGATGAAGCTGAAGAAGATGAAAAACAAGGAGGGAACGAAGATACTGAAGTAGAGAATGCAGAGGAGGAAGGACTTAAAGATGCATTTGATGATAATTTTTTAATCAAAGCTTGCTCGGTTGTAGCTTTAACTAAATTAAAATCTCTTAACCTCTCAGTGATACAAGAAGAGGAGGGCATTTTACCTGGTGAAACTATGACCCCTATATCATCTACTCCGATAAACAGGAAAAGGTTTGTGCTTATAATACAGTAATAACAAATTGAACTGACTTTGCACTGACTTTTTGCAGTGTAGTATAGCTATTAAAAGGTGTAAATAAAACCATACGGTGAGCTAGTGTGAACACAGCTGTAGTTTGCAGCATTTTATTAAGTATCTATGCTTGTAGGTTTGCATTTTCCCGGGTGAATGGGCGGGTAGCTGGAAATGAAGGATAAATGCGTGGGTGACTTTTGCGGGCTAGGCAAAATGGCATAAAAGCGTTTAGCTTCTACAAAACTTGTAAAAAGGATAAAGAAATGAGGTTCTTCTACAGACTGAAAGCCACTACATTGGCTCTGTTCTTTCTACACACGATAATAGTCTTCTCTTGTACGTACGTGTTCTGCTCTTCGTACAACTGCGGTGGTCGTCACGGGGGATGTGAAAACCGCCTGAATCGAGAGCTAATGCTCCAAGACCCTCACAAGAAGGCGCAAGGAAGCCTGGAAAATAAAGAAATTTACAAATCAAAAGAGAAAGAGACTCTGCCTAAGCACAGACATGTTAAAGGAAACCTCAGAAAACCAGCTAATAATGCTTTTATGTAAGATTAGATCTACTATTGTAGTAAATGCCATCATCACTGATGCAATGCATGAAATAATGCTTTATTTGTTATTATTTTTATTTTACAGTTTTGCTGGTGGTGCTGGTTGTCCCATTATCCAGAGTCCATTGATAGTAAGTATAACGATTATCTGCTTTCAACGCCCACTCGCTTGATTTAAGTCGATTAACGTATTATCGTTTAGTCTAGTCTATAGCAATTGCATTGTTAGCTGTTGCATTGTTAAGATAAATGCATTATCTCTCACGCATAATTATGTGTCTTCGTCCTTCCTGTTATGCTACACTTTCCTCTTTGTCCCATGAACTTCTTTATCTTTTGTCTCTTTGACATCTCTCTCTCTCTTTCTCTCTCCCCCTCTCTCTCTTCCTCTCTCTCTCTCTCCCTCTCTCTCTCTCTCCCTCTCTCTCTCTCTCTCTCTTCCTTTCCTCTCTCTTGCTCCTCTTTCTCTTCTCCTTTCTTTTCATACCTTAGGATTATCTCTCGCCAGACGTCCGTGCCTCACTGACTGTAAGAGAAAAGATACTGGCTCTCTCAAATCAGAATGACATCATCCCAATAGAGGACTTCTTCACTCCAGTGTAAGTATAATAGTGTGCTACTGCTATGCATTATAATCACGTGATACTTTTAGGATGAAGCGTACATTACAAAAATTAGGTGAAGGCGTTTTCGGAGAAGTATTTAGTTGCTACACACCCGAAGGTGATGGGCTGGCAGTGAAGGTAATGCAAGGGTGTGGGATGGTATTTGGACAATGTTTACTCGTTCACACAAACTTCGTTTCTTTTCCCTTCTCTTTATAATTGATGTACACACACAAATTCTCATATGACAACACACACGATTAAAGATTATGCCCATTGAAGGCAAAGAATTGATTAACGATGAAAAACAGAAGACCTTTGAGGAGATACTGCCAGAGATGGTCATATCAAAGTAATGAATAATTAATTTGGTTTTATGTATGCAAACAACACCCATTGTAGAGAACTTAGTCATCTGGGCCAGTCAGAAGTAAGCACAAATATTTATAAATTATTATTTAAATTTTGCTAGGATGCAAGATATTATACAAAAAATTTTGTTCAACTTTACAAGTGAGTACAATTTAATGATCATGATGATGCATATTGGTGTCCTTATGCTATGTGGAAAGTTTGAGATGTTTTTGACAAATAATTTTCAAGTTATGAGCATTTAAAAAATTCCCAAGCTATAGCATAGCCCTTGATTTTTTCCAAAAAATAGCACCAAAACACTCCAAATTTTTATTACATTTTCTGATAGATATTGATGTCCTTATGCTATGTAGAAGGTTTGAGGTGATTCCAATAAAAAATTTTCAAGTTATAGTTATTTAAAAAAAACAGGTCATATTTTGAAATTACCCAAGGCATAACCCATGGTTTTTTTCCAAAAAATGGCTCTAAAATCATCGCAAATTTTTGTTATATTTTTTGATACATATTGATGCCCTTATGCTACGTAAAAGTTTAAGGCAATTTCGATAAAAAATTTTCAAGTTCTGGTCAATTTTTAAAACGAACAATTTTTTGAAAAATACCCAAGGCTATAAAAAAAACCATGGGCTATAGCCCATGGTTTTTTTCAAAAAATGGCTCTGAAATCACCCCAATATTTTATTAAATTTTCTAATACATATTAATGTCCTTATGCTATGTAGAAAGTTTGAATCAATTTCAATAAGAAATTTTCGAGTTATGGTCATTTCAAAAACGGCTGTTTTTTGAAAAATACCCAAGGCTATAGCCCATGGTTTTTTCCAAAAAATGGCTCTGAAATCACCCCAAAATTTTATTACATTTTTTGATACATATTGATGTCCTTATGCTGTGTAGCAAGTTTGAGGTGATTCCGACTTCAATTTCTCAAGTTACGACCATTTTAAGAAAACGCCCAAATTCTGAAAAATACCCAAGGCTATAGCCCATGGTTTTTTCTAAAAAATGGCTCTGAAATCACCCCAAATTTTATTACATTTTTTTGATACATATTGATGTCCTTATGCTGTGTAGCAAGTTTGAGGTGATTCCAACTTCAATTTCTCAAGTTACGACCATTTTAAGAAAACGTCCAAATTCTGAAAAATACCCAAGGCTATAGCCCATGGTTTTTTTCAAAAAATGGCTCCAAAATCACCACAAATTTTTATTACATTTTCTGATACATATTGATATCCTTATGCTATGTAGAAAGTTTGAGTCAATTCCGATAAAAAATTTTCGAGTTATGATCATTTTAAAAAACGGGCCATTTTTTGAAAAATACCCAAGGCTATAGCCTATGATTTTTTCCAAAAAATGGCTCTGAAATCACCCCAAATTTTTATTACATTTTCTGATACATATTGATGTCCTTATGCTCTGTAGAAAGTTTGAGTCAATTCCGATAAGAAATTTTTGAGTTATGGTCATTTTAAAAAACGAGCTGTTTTTTAAAAATACCCAAGGCTATAGCCCATGGGTTTTTCCAAAAAATGTCTCCGAAATCACCCCAAATTTTTATTACATTTTCTGATACATATTGATGTCTTTATACTGTGTAGAAAGTTTGAGGCAATTCTGGTAAGAAATTTTCGAGTTATGGTCATTTTTAAAAACGGTCTATTTTTTGAAAAATACCCAAGGCTATAGCCCATGGTTTTTTCAAAAAATGGCTCCAAAATCATCTCAAATTTTTATTACATTTTCTAATACATATTGACGTCCTTATGCTATGTGAAAAGTTTGAGCTGTTTCCGACAAATAATTTCCGAGTATGAGCATTTTTTTAATTTTTGAAAAAAAAAGCAAAAGCCCAATAAATAAGCCAATAAATAAATAAGCAAAAAAAAACTTAACACCAGGAGTCTATAGGCTCCTGTACTGACGATGCTTATTTTTAATTTTTAAAAATGGCTTCATAATGATGACCTTGAGCTGATTCTAGCTGAATCTAGCATTTTAAAACTAGTCCAATTAGGCTACAGTACTATCATCATCATTGTGTGTTTGTTATCCTCAGACTGGGTATTGGCAAAGGGAAGTATCCTGAGTTTCTCATTAATGCTTGGGACAATTGGGACGAGAAAGAAGAGAGCGATAATGACAGACCAGGTATATATACAAATTCTAACTGATATTATTAAAATAAAATAATAGTAATAATATAATAATAATATATTAATAGTAATATTGATACATGTTAAATTGATGCATATTTTTTCAGATGTATTTAGTCCCAAGCAGCTCTACGTTATGTTTGCTTTTGAAAACTCAGGCTGTGCCTTAGAAGCTTTTACGGTTAGCCAATAAATTTTACTATAATTTTTGTCTTAAGAATTGATGACACTCTTGAAAATAAATAATGATGATTATTTTTTATAATTAATAGTTTCATAGCAAAAGAGAAGCAATGAGTGTTCTAGCACAGATTGCAGCTACATTAGCTGTTGGGGAAGCAGTAAGAATTATAATTAATATTTATTATTATTATTATTAATTAAACCACAACAAGATCTATTGGTATGTAGACATCTACCGTAAATGTTCAAATAAAGGTCCAGGCATTAATTTTTTTGCAGGACAAAAAAATTGCAAAAATAAAATTAAAAAAAAGTTTAAACTGGAATTCAAACTCCTGGCTCAAGGATCATTGAACTTAGCCTGACAAGTTAGGCCATTTGGGACACTTTAAACCAGATGGTACCTATATTGAATAAAGTATGCGTGGAGATTATTCATATCAGGCATTTATTTAAGCTATGCCTTTATTTGAACATTTACAGTACCCTTGCTTATAGGCAGGGGCGTAGCTGGGAAGGAAATGATGAGAGGGTTCAGAGATAAATGGCGCGCGAAGCGCGCCGAAAATTTGGCCACACCCCTTTTTAGCGTTCGTATAGTGCACTAAAATAGCATTTTGCGTATTTTAAAGCAACAAAATCTTACATTTTCAACAATGATTACTATAAAATGAGTGTTTTGCTTCTGTCTACTTCTTATTTCTTGTACATTTACTGCTGTGCAATGTATTGTAAATGATTACAAGGTAGCTAATTTTTATTACTAGGTGGTAAGTAATAAAACAAACAATGAATATCATTATCTACAACAATTGATGGGGGGGCCCAGGCCCCTGTAGGCCCCCCCTCAGATACGCCCCTGTTTATAGGCTCACCCCTCTTTCTTCTAATGTACATATAGTTAATGTTTGATTAAAAAGGTATGATCACCACTAAATATGTCGCAAGACAACCAATACAATTCCATAAAAAAGAATTATATCCAATCATAACAAGCAATGTTTACACTCTAACCAAAACTACAAATCAGGACTCTTTGATATTAAATTTAAATTTTATAGAGGTGTACTAAAGTGTGTGATCACGTACATTAAGGAGTAACTATGTTGTGTGGGTGTGTGATATGACAGTCTGTGTGGGTGCAAACTTCAGGTGGTAGTGTGAATGTGAGAAATTACTTTGAAATATTAGGAATAATAGATTTTCCTTATAAAGGGTAGCATTTTTACCAGCAGCTGTTTAAACTAGCAAGAAATAACCATCAACTAATATTTTTAAAGCAATAATTAAGATATTTAACAGAAGAGAGTAAAAGCCACTTTTAAAATTTTTAGCATGTAACTATAAAATTAGTATCTAGGGAAAGAACATTTACAGGCACACAAAGAAGCTTACCATATCATACATTACTATGGTAACAGATCAGGTTAATGTCCATCCTTAAATATCCTTTCATGTTACATGATATACACTTCACTACAACCTTCATCAATCATAAATGATGATCTGCTATTACGTGTGTGTACAATTATAGTTTACATTGCATAATTTAATATCCTGTCCTAGTGTTGATATAATACTCAATTACGGAAGACTCAATCACTACCAACACTGTACACACACTACCTTAACACTACACAGCCCCAGACAGTCTGCTCTCCAATTGTTGTCTGTTTAATGGAGTGGGAGTAATAACAGTTTTTAATGACAGCTTATAAAGCTTGAGTAAACTCTACCTCACCCTTTTGCCTTTTTTGCTGATTTATCACGTACACATATCGAGCCTTTTGTTTCTACTTATTTTATCCACCATTCAACTAACTCTACCATTAATCTCTTTATAGTAATTTTATTTTCATTTTCTCTCTCTCTCTTTCTTTGAGGCTCTCAAGTTTGAACATCGTGACATGCATCGAGGGAACATCCTAGTGAGACGTACTAAAGAAGAGAAGATGGTTTTTGTCATTGATTCTCATAAATATGTACTTCCATCTGAAGGAGTACACGTAACAGTCATTGATTACACATTATCAAGACTATCACAAGGTAATAATAATAACTTAATTGTAGTGACAATACTAGTCATTTGCTCTATCAAATAACACTAATAAGATATCATTGTGAAGCTGCTGATTTTCAAGCCTTTTTTTGGTAAAAGCACCAAAAACAACAGTTTTTGGTCAAAATTTGCTTAAATCTATAGACAGTCATTTTTCATCACTAATAATTTGATTTAATAATGACTTAACCGAACTCTGTCCACTGACCACAACAACCTGTTGTAGTAGGATTGTGGTGACAAACACACACACACACTGTAGTATCTGCATATGGAGGAGGCAGGAAATATTTTGAAGAGCAATAATTAGTGGTTTAATAGTGAGACTGATACACAAGTTTGTGCTGGATTGATAAAGAAGTCCCTCATTGGATATTCCATCCTTAAATGGCTCACTAAGAGTTTGTTGTTCATTATTTATTGTAGATAAGGTTGCGGTTGAATCACCACAGCAACATAGTGTGTAGCATTAGAATTTACAAATCATCAATCAGTTATGCTTTCAATATAAAAGTCCCCATTGGAGTCAGAGTGACTGCAGTATCATTATTTCTATCAGCATTAATTTGTAGAATAAACACTAAACTTACTAGACATAAGAGTGAGCATCGCTATAGAAAGAAGTGAAGATTATATTTAACGTAACCTTTTAAACTTTTTACCATATAAAGTCCACATGCATGGGGTCATTGCAAACATACATGCATATATGTACATTGCTAGGATATGATCTTTTATGGTCATTTCAGGTAGCTGTACTTCATATAATGATCTCAATAACCTTCCATGGCTATTCAAAGGACACGGCGGGATACAGCACGACACTTACTTAAGAATGCGAAATGCAACCAAGTGAGTTCATACAATAAGATAAAGAGAAAAAAACTTATTTCTATTACTATTATTATTTTAGGAGTGATTGGTCAAAGTTTGCTCCCAGAACCAATGCCTGTTGGCTGTATTACATAGTCAATAAAATGGCCATTAAAAGTCGAGTGAAATATGTGACAAGGGCTCAGATACAGGCTGCCTTTGAGCCACTAGTGAATCAGTTTTTAAACTACGACTCTGCCAAGGACATATTTCTTGAATATTTCTCCAATCCTAGCCCTCTTAGCTTCGAATCCAAAAAATTAAAAAGAAACTAACATCAAAAATTCATAATCGCAGTCTTCGACAATCCTAAACTTCTGATTATTATAGTGCTATGTATCATCATGATCATCATCATTATTATTAATATTATCACTATCTATTAATCATTAACCACTTGAACAAATTTTATAATAAATGCTGTGTTATTTAATTAATCATTATTATTATTTATTAATCAGTTATGGTTTCATTCTTTTTGGAGCAGCTCCGGCAGGGCTGGTGTCAACACTAGTCTCATCACTCTGATCCGACGCCTGCTACAAAATTATAATATATATATATATATACATAATGCATTAATAGATTCACAAATAAAAACACTAGTATTATTATTATTATTATTACAGTATTACTCTTCAATTTGCCCCTGAGGACTATAAATAAAATCCTCGCCCTCAAAGCACAATCAAAATAAAACCGCAGAAGTGTTAGACCAGTAGCCATACATGCACAATTTATAGCTAATATGATAACAGCCACTAATAGACAAAAACACAGCAAGTCTTCAGAATTACTCATACACGGTAAGTGAGTAGCTTGTTACCAAGAAAGACAAAGTCATATACACATACATGTACATGTCATATATACATGTACACGTACGTGTCATTCACTTACTCAGTCGTATAATATAATTATAGTACACCATTGGACCATACAACATACCAACAGATGCACATAGTACTGTGTCAAAAAGAGCCAGCAATCTTTTACTATCATTGTTAGTAATTAAGATGGATGATTGGTCAGCATTGAATAGGATCAACAAAAACAGGATAGCTCCCACCCACTCTCTCTCTCTCAATGTCATCACCAAAGAAACACTTCAATGATTTTATAATTTATGTGAAAGTTGTAACAAATTAATTATAATAATTGAATAGTAAAGAAACTCCCTCAAGAAGTACATGCCAAACGTACATGTACATTGCTATTTCGCTACAGAAAAATGAAAATACTACAAATAACTCAAAACATGTACATACACACACACACAAACACCAATCAATTTACAGTGACTTGCAACAATATTTCCAGTTATAAGCTATGTGCATGTGCATACATGTAATACATGTAGCTTAAAATTACTCATAGCAGGTAAAATAAATGTATATTATAATAGGTGTATGTATATTTTTAATTTTAATACATTATTAATGTACTTACTGATACTAATATTCCATTGTTGTGTAGTAAAGCTCTCATCAACAATACCTATACATTGTGTCAATAGCATTATATACATCATACATGTACAGGTAGTTCTATGTACTTATGTACCTTAGTTCTTAGTACGTATGCATCTCCTACTTCAATGGCTTTCTGAAACATGGCCTGCCTCTGATCAATATGACGCGAATGCATTACCTAATAGTATAATAATAGTATACTAATAGTATAATAATAGTATACTAATAGCATAATAATAGTATACTAATAGCATAATAATAGTATAATAATAAATATCAGATGTATGTACACATATCTCCATCTGCCATAGAAACCTACAATCAATCATGTTATGTCATATTATGTGTATTATTTTATGATTTGTCATGGCAACCAGTCAATTGTCTGCAGGTGGATATGGATGAGGGTTGGTTGGGTAGCAGCTAATTAATGAAATGCGAGGAGGATTAAGTAACCAGTTCAAAAATACTCTCAAGTATCAATAAATATATCACACATCTACCATATGAGAATGAGATCATAGGGTTATAGTACATCTTCTCATTCAAATGTACACGATAATTCTTGGAATTAAATTAAGATGCCATTGGGCCAGTGAATATCTTGGATTCTATTTCATTTCAAAAGAATCTACCCTACACTAAACACTAATAGGGTCTGTCCCACACTAGATTGTCCATTCCTCCTCACTCATTCTCTGCGTCAACGGTCTCAGGGCCACATTTTCTAGCAACTTTAAAAATTCATAAAAAATCCAGTTTCAATCAGAATCAGCTCAAACTTGATATACAACATCAGAACATGTATATGTATCAAAAAATTATTAAAATTGTGAAATCTCTCTTCACCATTTTTGACGAAATACCATGGATCAGGGTTTTCTACAAAGTTCTACTAAGCAAGCTAAACAGCATACTTCATGAGCTGAGGACTATACCAATCTTGTGGGAACTCCCTATGAATGTAAAGTAAACAATGGCCTATTGCACAGGTGTCAGTTTTAAGAGCCTCCATCCCTTTCTCTCTAGAGGAGACCACATTCATTAGCTGACAGGTGCTGTGTACATGCAACCATTTAAAAGCTACAAGCCACTAGTGCATACTGAGGTTGCTATCAAAGGACTGGGTGTGTGTGTCTGTGTGTACAGTGCATGTAGCCCCAAGATACCACCGCTATCAATAATACATCTACATGAATATATACAAAACACTTATGAATTATAAAATTTGATTGTCATATGCCACACACACATATATATATATATATCATATACATATATCATGATGTAGCCACACATCAAAGGATTAGCAGGACTTGTATATTCCAATCACGCACTGCAGTGCCCCATTCATGCACTGTGGCTTTGTGCGCTTGTGTAAACTGACCGCCCACAGTACATACTTGTTGAATGTGTGGCTCCACCCTAACATATATCATTTATAACACACCGTCTCGTGCTATAAATATTACATAAATACCTCTGTACAGTTTGTGACTATTATTCTATTTTTTGTATTCCTTACTTTAGCATGCGAGTCAATCCTTGCCGATATCATTCCGTTCAATATTAAAGATATCAGCTCGTTTTCCAAAGAGTTGACATCAGTATTGAAAGCATCAGCCATTTTATGTAAATCAACTGAGGAATAAGGACTGAAATACTAAAGAGAGAAAGAGATGATATTATACTACAAATCTACTATTAGTACATCTATATCAGTATCAAATACACATATACATGTACACTGATATGATACCACTATACTAGTACATGTATGATACACCAAATATACATACATGTATACACACTCATATTGTTACACTCAATGAATGTGTGATTGCCCCATACAGAATATGCTAGCCTATAGTACTACTCAGTGAAATATTATCATGATATCAATGACCAGTATACTATATGTGTGTGTGTGTGTGTCCGTTCACTATAACAATAGGTATCACATTACAGGACTACCACTACTGCTGCTACTACTATCAGCTAGTGCTTGTAGCTTGATTCTTCATCTGTGTACTGTATGTGTGTGTGTGTTCTCATCAAGTTGTAAGCAAAATAGTGCCAATAACAAATATACTCTTTTTTTCCACATAAATAAACACGCACATGGCAACTAATATATGCAGCATACGAACAAATAAAGATCATGATTCTACAATAATAAATAAGCCCCGTTTACACTACAAACCAGTTTGGATCAAAGTGATTCAGAAACCAGCTAATTATGTCCGCGGGTAACTGTGGTTGAATCGGTTTACAATGCTACATTGCATACATAATACAGCCGCTTCAGTACTTAAACCAGCAAACCACCTCCTGAGGTGGTTTAATGCCATACATGTACATGTACATTGGACTAACTTGAATGAGTGCTTTGTTTCTTATCTGTGCATACAAGTCGGATATATGATTTGCTAGATACTGATCGAGCATGAAACTGTTCCTGAGCGCCTCAAGAGTTGAGAGACAAGAGGTGTACTGCGACTGGTGGAACTGAGAAATGACATCTCTCAGTGAAGGCTCAAGCTCCAAGAAAAGCTTAAAAGAGCTTCAGAGAGAAAGACAGGGAGAGAGAGGGGGGAGAGAGAGAAAGAGAGAGAAAGAGAGGGGGGAGAGAGGGGAGAGAGAGGGAGAGAGAGAGAGGGAGAGAGAGAGGGGGGAGAGAGAGAGGGGGAGAGAGAGGGAGGGAAGAGACAAATGAGGCATAGAGTGTGATGATTAGGATGACTAGACTATGTACCTGCTGCTAATGACCTTTGTATAGAGCTCTTGTCTGTCAAATGAGGCCAGTGCACACAATCCTCCATAGACAGCTATGGTATATGGTGACAATAGCTAATGGAGATATAAAGAGGAATAAAGGAGAAGTGTCTATTGGCATGAATGAACTGTAATGATGATAATACTGACTTGAGCCTGTGTTTAATTGAGTGTACTTATATTAGCAAATTTAGCAAGGGATTTTTTAAATGATGAATTAAAGTGACACACACATGTACATGTAGATTGAAAATAGACTAAAATTGATACAAAAATGCTAAAAGCAAACATAGTCTGTAGGCTGTTGTGCCAAGAAGATGCAGTATTACAACATGCAGACTATCATAATGATATTAGAGAGAGAGGCAGAGTAAACACAGACACAATTGACATTTACCACAAAATGATTAATGTCTTAAGAAATAAAAAAGGAGACAGAGAGAGGGACATAATAGACATCAATAGACTGATATAACAAGATTAAACCAATTCAAAGAATGGGAAAAGGTAGATTAAAGTACACAACAGTGACAATTCATATACATACATGTATACAGGCCAAAATACACATGACTCATCTAGTACAATAGACATTATACAGTACATTTATGATTATATCAGTGAGTTAGAGAGGAAGTAAGGTAGAGAATGAGAGAGTGCAATGGGATTAGCTGATACATGCATGAAGAAGAGGTCAGAGTGTGTATGTAAATACATAATGAACGAAGCATAGACTAATGGAGGAAAGAGCTGTTGGGAGTACATTGAAAGGAAGGAACTGATACACGAGTATTATTAAATTAGGACAGAGAGAGAAAGAGGAAGATAGTAGAGAGAGAGAGAGAGAGGGGAGAGAGAGAGAGAGAGGGAGGGAGAGAGAAGAGAGGAGAAGGAGAAGGAGGAGTGAGATCGAAGGTGTAAGAACTAGCAACCTGGGAAGGGGAAAGAAGTGACAATGAGAGGAAAGAGGGAGAGGAGGTGTTAAAATGGAGAGGAGAAGCACAATTTACATAACAATTATATTAGCAGGAAAAAACATTACATCAAAGAGAATTAAAATAGGACAGTTAGGACAGCACTCGAGACAATCAAAACACATTAACCATAAAACAAACTTACATCTGGACAATTGCAATGATCGAACGAAGCCTGTAGAAAATAACGGGCAGCATTCTTGTACTTTCGGCCTTCCATTTCAGCTAGACCAGCTGCACATTTGAGCCTTGAAAGCATAGACAAGTTAGTCTGATTCTTGTGAGCCTGTGAAGTATGTAAAGGATGATGATCATAATAGTAATGCAAATATGAAAGCTTAAAGCATACAGTAATCTTAAAGTATCTATAGCAAGTGAAAGTCTCATACGTTATATGAAGTTTTCATTTTCGTACTGTACAATAGCAAATATTCAATAAACGCCACATTCATCGTGACTAATGATGCAGGTTTTAGCGCATGCACATCAACTATATAAGTACTACAATTTGAAGTACATTCCAAGAACATCAAAAACATGTACATGTAATCATCAAAATCATAATAAAAATAAGATAATATATTTGCGTCCTTACTTCAGCGACTTCTTGCGTTGCTTCAGCTTTGCTATAATAACTGAGGACCTGCTGCCAATGGCCTAGCAACACACTGACCTATTGAACAAGAATCGCATTACATAGATATGTCATATTATATGAAAAAATTCAAAGTATTTGTAAATTGGGATATCTCATCAAGTGCTTCTAGGAATTCTGATATATACTTTAGTATTTAATGTGTAAAGTATGGCTACATAATAAGGAGTGGGCGTGAGAGCGTAGGCCAAGCGAATACAAACTTTGTTAATTTAGGAATTCATTATATCATTGGTATGGTATGGAGGGGATGATTTTGATGAATTGGTACATAATCGTTGACCAAAATAAAACCTATAGCTGGCGTTTAGAGCCATTTAATGACACATGGCTGCAAATTTGCCAAATTACAGCCTCCACTTATGAAATTATAAAAATGCATGCGTCTGCATTGTAAAATTGATTAATAGTCACCAATCAACACAATATTGATAGAACGAATGGATGGACAATGAGAACAATGGAAATAATATAATACAATAAGTAATACAAAATACAGTATCATAATGTACTGATAATTCCAGGCATTACTATAGTACTTATACTAGTACATCAATATGCATGTACTATAAATGAGAGCATACATGCATATACATGTACATGTATAAATGGTATATACTATAATAGTACCTTTATAATGTTAAGGCAAAGAGAGACTATGTGTCTTGAGCTGGTGCAATGATCACGAGCTCTGGTGTACATCTTGAGAGCAGAGCTATAAGTCAGAGAGACAGCAAAAAGATATGACATTATAGCCAGAATAAGAGAATCACTATTACATATACATGTAACTTATACATGCAGCATTCATATCTCTTCAAAGACATTTGAACTGCTATAAAGATTAAAGATACAGCAGTCTTTGAAACTAAATTTCCTTTTCTTGCTAGAGAACTATATGAATTACTATTTTAATCCAAGGATGCACTCTTTTTAATAATGATATTCACAATAGTGATAACATGATAGGGACACAATGATACTATGTGGTATCTCCCTTACTCCCTAAGGTCTGATTACAAATGGTAAACAAACTAAAGGCAGTGGTGCTATAACCCCCCTACAATATAATGACAGACCACCACTGCTAACAGTATAATGAAATAATAACTCCAATAATGGGCTGTATAATAAAACAATGAGTATTTTATAAATAAAATACTTTTAAAGGGAGTGGTACCTGCTGATAAAACAAAGTCAAAACAATCGAATAAAAACAATGATGATAACAGGCCATTAGGATGATCATTTAAGTGATTTATTAGTATGTATTATGCATGTGTATATACCTTAAATCCCCACAGTCCATGTAGTGATCTCCTAGTGCATCAAACCCTCTCCTAATGACCAATTGACACACACATAATGTACATGCACATACAAGTATGCATGTACATGTACGTGTACAATACATGTACATGTATACAGTAGGTGGTTATGACTGCTGAGGTTAATGTTTAGTGTTTACCTGATGCTCTCTTTGATCGAGTTGCTCCGATAATTCTTTAGATCAGAATCAAGTCTCTCCAGCTGTAATTGAAGATCGAAGGACATGACTTCAATTAATACTAAAGTCACAAGATCATTCCTTTCTTACGGTTATGGCCGACTTCCTATTAACTTGAGTAACAAACAAGGCAGATTCGTCATTCTCAGCATATTTTGAATCATTAGTACTAATAGGGGAAAAGGATCGACAATAATTACAGAGAGAATTAAGTTTTGTATGAATTTTTAAAGTTGGTCAAAAACCGGGCCAAAGACCATGGGCTATAGTACAGGGAACTTGGGCAAATTTCGCCAAAAATGAAAAGTAGAGAATTCTTAATTTTAATAATTTTTCTGATACATATACATGCACTTATGTTGTGTAGAAAGTTTGAGTTCATTCCGATTAGAATTGGATTTTTTTACGAATTTTTCAAGTTGCTAAAAATCAGGCCAAAGACCATGCATGCATGGAGTGCAGTAGAGAAGAATGAAAGAAAAGGAGAGAGAGGGAACAAATGCAATAGGATCTATATGTAAATGTTTTCCTCATGCTAAATTGACATATCATTAAAAGACAAAGGCTACAATGAAAGACTATCAATACTTTTATCTTTAAAATACACGAAAAGTTTGAATCAACAAACGGCCGGGATAGACTTTGTATAACTCAAGTTTGCAAACAGAGAGGCAGAGAAGCTAAACAGAGACATATTTGAGGTTTACTTTAATACCTAAAGCATGACATAAGCTAATACACAACTCTATATACCCTGCAGGTACACACGCATGTACATTTATCAGCATAATAAAAGCACCTTAATACATAATGAGACTGAATGGCTACATATCATATAAGAGGACAAATATTATATTAGAGTGTTATTATATTAGATTAGTGTATAGCCGTACACTATAGTACGGTTTAGTACTATAACTTAATCAGAAATAGGATCACTGTAATTTGTGTGTCTCAATTCCTTTACTAATACAAACACAGACCACAAACATGGTACAGTAAACACGATTAACACACACACTATATGCACTGTAATTTAATACATCATATACTACATCTACATGTACATACACACAGCTACTATGTAGTCACTGTGGGTGGTCATTTTTTTAATTTTTAATTTTAAAAATTATTTTAAGAACATGACAATAAGTTGAACCTCTGCAAATAACTGTAGCAAGGTTTAACAATACAATAAAGTACTAAATTCATCCAGTGCATGCACATGTCTGTACAGCTGCTACTGGGTTATGAATTATGATGATTTATTCTATTTAATGCCCAGTACATGTCTCCTCTTCCTTTTTCTTACATACTGAGAATTACGCATACAAACATAATTAATTAACAGTGTAAATAATGATATAATTACTAATATATTACACATGTACATACACATTACAGTGCTAGATACAAATAAGAATAATAATTATAAAGAAGAATGATTTTCTACCATAATAGCAGAGGAGAATATATTTATAGTTTCTGAACTTTCTGATCTACAACCATCTAATACTTACCACTGGTATAATTTCTGTCTAATAGTGACAAACGTTGCCATATTGAATGTCTTTTCAACAGCTGCTAGTGCCAACCTGTGAAAATGAAGTTACCATAGTAATGTATTGGGTCCCTTGTATTTGGTCATATTTGTATTAGGATATATTTGCATTTGGTGATATATACCTGAGGGCATCTTCAGAGAGGCTGGGACAGTGTTTAGCTACAAACATTAACCTTTTTATTTTTGCTGGACCTTCGTAGCCACTGGCATAAGACTCGAGATCCTTTTAAAATATAAAAATAATAATTATATATAACGCGCGCATCACTATACGTGTACATAATCTCAATTGTGCTGTTTTCTTACAAAATTTGAAGGTGGATCGACAACAAAATTAGAGGGTGCATCCTGGGGCCCATCTGGATCATCCACTTGCATTGGCTCTACACTGTCCAACTATAAATGGGGAGGGGTGGGCATTAATTAGAATAACAACTACAGCTACATTATGGGGTGATGAATGATGGCGTGGGGCAGATAGGAGACGGAGCTAACCTGTTGTGGTCTTCTTGGAGGATTTGGTTGTCTAGATCCACGTTGAACTGGCATTTTTTATGCTTGTAAAAAAAATCTGGGCAAGTGGGCATGCACCAAATTAGGCCTAATCAATGAATATTCATGATCATGAATAATTAATGAATTACATATACACTTAAATAAGCAGTCACCTATCATACAAGTCTACTATTATACTAGGCAATAGCTGCTATATTTTGAGAAGAAAAGTAGGTCAGTTAATTATAATTTTGATAATCTCTGTCTTTCCATAAATTACTGGCCCGTTGCTTTCCTTTCTTATAGTTTTTCAACCAAGAAAAAACAATTATGAAAATCCAGGTACTCCTGTTGCTGTCCTGCTGCTGTTTATTCGGGGTATTCTCAGCTAACAATCCTCCCCCAGGTGAACAAAACACGCACTGCCTTTTTCCATGCAAAGACTTGCCTTGCTCCGCGTTCGTTGATAAGCTGCCATCATCTTTTCTGACCCGCCACCTAGTTCAGAGCTATGCCAAATGTTGTGTCGTTAGAATTTCAGTACAAGCCTACGAATTCCTCTTGTTTTGTCTTTCTGCTCGCAGCTTGTAAGTCTTGTTGCTATCAAAGGACCACCACTCCTTTCCAAAGCATGCTGAACACCTTCTTTGGGAAGATAAACCCCAGGCGCTTCTGCAAACTCGGAATTCAGTCTTGCTCGCACTCTTGCTTTGGTACAACCACCAAGAATACACGAGCATTTTTTAGGCAATGCTGGTACTGTTAAGCTAGTACGGGGTGAAGTTGTTTGTGACAAATAAGATTATCTGATCAAGCTACAATAGATCATGTATCAGGCAGCTCTCCCCTGAGATTAGACATGCATACTCTGACTGGTTCTTAATTACTATAATGCAGAAGAAGGCTCAGAATGGCCTTGCAGTTTCATTTTTAGTTCACCAGAAAAGCACTGACTTTACACAGTTTCAATTCAGAGCATCTTTCCCCACATGCTGTTTAGATAGACCCTCATACAATTGTTTTGATGACTGTTTTCATTGCGGTCTTGCAGGGGAGAGTTCATTGTACACATAACACAGTATTATAACTATGTTATTGTGTCCTGCTTTGTCGGCAGTGACTGATAAGTTATAGCTGGAATCTTAACTACATAAAGAGCAGTATTGCCTACTAATTAAATCTCTCAATAGACCATAGTAGAGTATTGTAGTGTGAATTGATTGATTAAGTAGAGTGTTGATATGCTAACGTCCATTTGACACGTTCCTGTTTCTCAAGCATTACATGTTACCTTTGAAATCCAAAGTGTCACAAAACACGCAAATTCAATAGCACTCGCATCACAACCAAAACGCAACTAGACTGATTGTGCTATTTTTAATATTGTTGCCATGCTGATCCTTAAAAATCAAATGCAATGTGTAATCATCGCACAAAGGCTAGGCTATACTAGTGTGGGCTTCAGGTCTATGTACGGATGTAATGAGTTTGTTATGTGTTGTGGTCAGAGGAATGAATATGTAGGAGAGCCCTTGGCATGTTGCCATTTACCTGTGGAATCCGGCCATCAAGTTATGCATGCCATTACATGTAATTCACACTCAGTATCTATTGAGGTTGGGTTTAGAGTATAAATTGGATGGATTCCATCAACCCAGCTGCTTTTTAGAAAGAGAGAGGGAGGGTGAGGGAGGTCAGATTTGATAACTGTTAGTTGATTTAAACACATCATTCTCCCACTTGTCTCACTGTTATATTAGTATACAGATGTTTCAAGGATAGTTCCAATTAACTGTAGTCCTGCCTACAGTGTCATCTGTAATTATATGTATTGACCTAACACTTCTCCCACTGACTATATCATTTATATGTTATTTTAATTATTTTTCAGAATTCACTAGTCACCCAGGCAACTTTACAGTAGCTAATGGCACTGCACCAGGGCCAAACACAGATTGTAATATTACCAGACTTGTTGTGTGGCGGATGTATGTACGAGGACAGCTAGTTGATGAATTTGGAGGGAGTGAAGGCTTAGATACTTCACAATATGCGAATTATCAGGAATATATACAAATGTTAGCCCTTCTTCCTCATATAGCACATGCTTCTATATTTGTTTGTCTTCTTATAGGACATTTAATAGGACTGGTCTCAGACTGGTAGGTCAGTTTGTAAGTAGCATTGAGATCCCAGTCACAAGAATCACTCACCATGGAACTTACCAATGCCAAGAAGAAAATAATGATTTATTCAGTTATCCAGGGACTGTGATTGTTCAGGGTAAGTCAGCTAATGCTCCTTTTATTCAGTTCAATTTGTTCTCATAAACTTCCAGGGCCTGTCCTGATGAGATTTTTGGATTCAGCTCAACAGCTAAATGGGACAGGAGGGCAGGACATAATGAAAAAGTTTGTTGTTTTTGGAGCCCCAGACCCAGTACTCAGTATAGCTAAGGAAGCCTCTAATGGAGACTACATCCCAATCAATGATAACAGGATTACTCTCAGCCTGACCAATTTCACATTCACATCACTCAAACTAAGCGACGCTGGCCAATACAAGATATGGGGCAACAACAGCCACGGGGATTCTTCCTTTACCTTTAGAATCAACGTATCCGGTATGTTTATAGCTGTAGATGATTATGTTAAGAATATAATGCATGATGAAAGAAACCATGAGTGTACATGCATGAAACCATTATATCCATTAGCACTCTCGTAATTGTAAAATGATACCCAAAACTCACCTTCTAATTGCATAGCAATGCTATAGAAACAAGACAAACATAGTTATATATAGTTGGGATGCCTTTGGAGCTAGGCAAGGACTACTAACAGGGAAATAGCAAACAGGTGCTGTTTGTACAGAGGAGAGGAATTCAAATCTCATTCCATACATCACTGAGTGTCAAAAGAGTAAACACACATCAGTAGATGTACAAGCATCGACATCAAATTGATGTGTGGATTATTTGTACTGCATGACTAAAGGGGTAATCCAGGTGTTCGTGACATTACTGGCATGTTTTTGCTATAAGAGAGAGTACAGTGTTTTGCATGCCTGACTAATGTTGATTTAAAATCTCTTTTTAACTATCCTTTCTCCCACTCATCACTTACCTCATCATAGACACAACAGCAAGCATAACTTAAAAGTCTCCATTCCAAAGCATATGCACATCTTAATAGTCTTTCTTCTATCATTCAAGAGGGCATGTAGCCCTGATATTGAGATAAATTATTATAATTATTGTTATTACTATCTTACTAGGTGTTGATCATCCACACATCCAACTAGAGAGCATACACACTAATTTCATTTATGGGACAAGCGTCTCAATCCCATGCTCAGTCCAAGACTCTGCTTATGAGCCCGGGTTAGAGATATACTGGACACATAATGGAGCCAATGTATCGCAGAGCAGCCATCAGTCAAGAGCATACGAGACGAGATCAAGCAATACAGTATCTGAGCTTATCTTTCCTGCATTCTCTACCTCAGACAACGGAGAGTACAAGTGTCACGCTAGCAACTCCAATGATGCTGATGAGAGAACTACAACAATAATAGGTGAGAGAATTTTCTAATGCTATTTATTATACATGTACAGTGTATACAAATGTACTCTCAGATTATACTTTATTATATTACTCTTACTTCTTGTTGTAGGTGCTCCTCAAAAGCCAAACATAACTACATTAACAGTCAGTGGCAATAACGTGCTTCTTATATGGACTGAACCAATGGCATATGGAGCTACCATTTCTAGTTACTACCTTTCATACCAGTAAGCTTCAGCTTATAATAGCTGCTGCATGTACATGCATAGAAATGCATATATGTACATACATGTGCCTACATAATAGTAGCACTTAAATGACTGTTATATCTTATATTAGGGATGAACAAAACCAGTTTAGCATGAATATAACAGACTATAACCCAACCACGGGTCTCACGTTAAAGATCTGTCCTGGTGGCAAATTCTATTCCTTCCAAGTTGCTGCCATCAATGAGTACAATCTCACAGGAGAATACAGTGAAATAGTGAGAAAGTATATTCAAAAATGTCCAAGTAAGTTAAGCTATCATAAGAAAATCATGCACATCATTATCTCTCTCTCTCTCTCTCTACTCCTCCAGTGTCCTCCTCGTCAACCTCAACTTCTTTAGTTGTGACACCAACCAGCGATTCATCAGTAACGTCAACAACAATACCAGCATCAACTCCACCAGTAGTCCCTACTCTTGGAACTACTGGTGAGGCTGAGTCTCCACCTATACTGCCAATTGCAGCAAGTGCAGCTGGAGGTAAATCAAAGTACTTTAAAAACCAATATCAAAAATAGAACGAAGCATTAGCATAATTACTACAATACACATAACATTGATTGACTTCTTTCTCTCTCTCTCTCTCTCTCTCTCTCTCTTTCTTTAAGGAGGGATGATCCTACTGATAGCATTGGCAGTGTTGGTAATTGCTATATTCTGTTGGGTCTCCATATCAAAGAGAAACTCTAACAGACACGGAGGGCGACAGTGGACACACCAGTCATCAGAAGAAGAGAATATCGATGGACTACATTATGGTGGGAATGGACATATACCCAACAAGGTAAAAAGTGATACTTATAATACATGTATTTATCAAATTGATCAAATAAGGACAGTAATGCTCTCTAATTCAGTTATATTGAACTATAACTGCCAGTCTCCCTTGTGTATAATATACATGTACTATACAGACTATTAATGAGATTTGTGATGTGTTGGTTCACACTTACGTGTACATGTGTGATATCAGTATTGAGTATATTCCTGTGTATGCTTGCAAGCAAACCTTTAATCTTTTTCTTTGAAGTGCACCACAAGCTACAATACATGTGTATCAATATTTACATCATACAGTGTTATGTTAATTTTCTATTGTATTTCCACAGTCAACCCAGCTCATGCTCAATATCCCTGGCATCCCCAGCCCCTTGCCAGCTACACCAGGATATGGTCCTGCTATGTGCATTGATCCTTGCTATGAGTTTTCAAGGGACAACCTTGAGCTGACAGACATCCTGTACGATGGAAGCTACACCGTCATATATAAGGCAAAGGCTACCGGAATAAAGGATAATAAATCCATCGAAGTGATGGCAAAGTGCATTAAAGGTAAGAGGGAGAGATAAACTCAGAGAAGCCTCTAATATATAGTCTATAGTAAATATTACTATGAACTATTGTCCCTTTGCAATTAAGCTGGCACAAAAGCACAAGCAGATCAAAAGCAAAATAATTACATGTACATGTACATGTACACACGGAGCTTATGGGGTGCTTCTCTTTGATCTTAAGGTTTCCATGATAATAAACACGACTGTACAATAACATGAAGATAATGCTATCATTATTTATTGTAGAGGAGTATGGTGACATGGACGACTACGTGTCAGCGCTAGTCACAGAAATGGAGCATCTATCACAATTTGAGCCACACCCAAACATTGTTGGACTCATTAAAGTCTGCACAGTAGGAAGTAAGTCAATAAGATAAATATTTGACGAGTGGCTGAACAAACTGTCCCTCTCCCTCCCAATAATCTCCCCCATTTCTTCATGTGTATGGCGTACATACCCATATTGCATTGATTTGTACATGTACATGTATATGTATGTGAATACGTACTCTTCTCTCATTACATTTTTATTTCCTTCTCTCTCATTTTAGAGCCAGTTTATATGATAATGGAGTACATGTGTCACGGGGACCTCCTGGGTTTCCTCAGAGCAACAAGAGGTCACCCTGACATGTACACTGTGTTCCCTGGAACAAAGAACGTTCCGTCAAACTTAAAACTAAAATCTCGGGACTTGCTACGAATTATTAGCCAAATAGCTGACGGAATGAACTACCTCTCGGGACTAAAGGTAAGAGAGATGGAGAGAGGATTTTAAAATAATTTTAATCATATTTTTTCTTATTAGATTCCACACACAGCCCTATGTGCTAGGAACATATTGGTCGGTACCAGTATGGAGGTTAAGATATACAACATTGGAGCACATAATCTTGATAGTAACGAGGTCTATGAGTCACTGGTTAGGTGGTGGGCACCGGAAGTCTTCCATGATGGAAACCATTCTGTACTCAGTGACATGTAAGTGTAGAGTGTATGGATGATAATAATAATAGTGCACTGATATTTCCAGCAAGTATTAATTAAACAAAAAACATGAAAAATGCAAAAAAAGTTATTGTAAAATACATACAGTAGACATGTTTAAAACATTCTACATGTGCATGTACATGTTTATAAAAGTGGAAGGTTTTATATTATTATTATTATTATTATATTATTTTTATTATTACAGTTGGTCATTTGGAGTGGTTATGTGGGAAGTAGTGACAGTTGGCGGTACACCATACAATGATGTTAATCTCGATGACATTTACCCTCAACTAATGGCTGGTCTGAGACTACAGCGACCAGCTCACTGTACGCAACCAATCTACGACATAATGACGTCTTGTTGGGAAAATATACCACAACATCGACCGACTTTCCTTGAGATTACGGACCAGCTTCAGAGTCTGAACACAACTAAAATGGTATGTGGTAGCAATAATTATTGTCTGTTTTCATTATACGTGTATATTTTTCTCATCTCCAGAGTTATTTGGATTTAAGAAACTACAACGAAATGCAGTATTCACAGTTTGACCTCAATGAGGCATCACAAATGTCAATACTTTAAACTTCAAAAAAAAAAACCACGGCATCAATAAATAATAATATTTAACACTTTCACCTTCTCCCTCTCTCTGCATCATTATTCTTACATTTCATTGATTTCTTCTAACCTTTTATTTCAATATGTCTCTTCTTTTGATCTTCTTTTCCTCCTTCTCCCTCTTTCTCTCAATATTTTTGTATAGAATGTCTCATTATCAAATTTTTTAACCACTACTATAATAAGTAATAATTATCATTGTCAGTGTCTAGTCAGTCAGTATTTGTGGGACTGTATTTGTTTTTTTCGTTACTTTGTGTTCCGTTTTGTTATAAAATGATTATAAATGTTTCATTAGTCTTAACCTACATCTCCTGACCCGTTAACTCAATCAAGTTGTTGCTTACAGTAAACACGACATACCGCCATGCCAAATTTATTTCGTAGCAATAATTGATTTAATTTATTAATTAAATTAGGGCTAGCATCATCAGCCACTCAACAGAAGCCAGTGCTTTACATGTACACGTACATACGTAATAGCACATGTACAGCATACTAATCACAGTATGCATGTACATATGTACATACATGTACTTAATAGATCATGATACATTTATGGATTTACTGTAGTAAAATGTACCACAAAATTAGGTCAAACTTTCCACATAGAACTGCTACAAAATTGATTTTTTTATAATTTTTCCTTAGCTGTGGGTTATTAAAAAATCCATTGTTTTTTGTCAACAATTTCAAGCATGTATGAAGTTAGATATGTATACAAACACTGAGTCCTTGGTGCTATCAAGCAGAGTAAGAGTTCAGTAGATAAATGAATAGGGTTTGCTCATTGACTAGGGCCATCATCAGTAAATGAGCTTGCTACATCTGAATGTATCTATTAGAAGATAGATGAATGAATTAATGAAAGAGTCATATAACATACAGCATTAGCAATGTCAATCCATTTCAAAGCAGAGGATATTCCTTCATCAGCTGAAGGGACCGAGTCCAAAGACCACTCATTGAGTGATGAGAAGACTGACTTTACTCTCATTTCCTTACAATCAGTTTCGCTACTACCACTAGATAATACAACACCTATTATAGTCCAATAAAGATAAAGATAAAACCAATACAAATATTGCTTGTTGCTTTCTCAATTCTATACACAATGGCATACTCTTAACCTGACAATGAAAAATTCTTTAAAAAGATAAAATACCCCGGTATATGACCTCAAGCATATTATATAGCCTCTTCACTTATTAGTTAAGGTTGAAGCCAAACATTAGAGAAGCAATATGAATACTGCTATAGGTTTAGGAGAATCAAGTGTTTTCATTAGTACTTGCCCATGCAGCAGCTGCAGTGAATCCAATGTAGTGTTGTAGTGTGATGCATCATTAATACAATACAGTGTAGTACTATACGTATACCAGTGTAGTCTTGAGGTAAATCGTGAGTTATTCCTTGAAGTGGGCGACCACGAAATGAAGCTGACATACACGCTACACCTAAAGAGAGATGTACTTTCAATCATTATAACTCAAAAACTTCAAGTCGGAATCGGCTCAAACTTTCTACATAGCATAAGGGCATCAATAAGTAACAGAAAATGTAATAAAAATTTGGGGTGATTTTGGAGCCATTTTTTGGAAAAAACCATGGGCTATAATGGGCTATAGCCTTGGGTATTTTTCAAAAAACGGCCCGTTTTTTAAAAATGACCATAACTTGAAAATTTCTTATCGGAATCGGCTCAAACTTTCTACATAGCATAAGGGCATCAATAAGTAACAGAAAATGTAATAAAAATGGGGGGTGATTTCGGAGCCATTTTTTCAAAAAAACCATGGGCTATAGCCTTGGGTATTTTTCAAAAAACGGTCCATTTTTTAAAATGACCATAACTCGAAAATTTCTTATCGGAATCGACTCAAACTTTCTACACAGCATAAGTACATCAGCATGCATCAGAAAATGTAATAAAAATTGGGGGTGATTTCGGAGCCATTTTTTGGAAAAAACCATGGGCTATAGCCTTGGGTATTTTTCAAAAACGGCCAGTTTTTAAAAATGACCATAACTTGAAAATTTCTTATCGGAATCGGCTCAAACTTTCTACATAGCATAAGTACATCAACATGCATCAGAAAATGTAATAAAAATTGGGGGTAATTTCGGAGCCATTTTTTGAAAAAAACCATAGGCTATAGTACAGGGTATTTTTCAAAATTTTAGTGCTTTCCTAAAATGGCCGTAACTTGAAAAATTGAAGTCAGAATCAGTTCAAACTTTCTACACAGCATAAAGACATCAATATGTATCAAAAAATGTAATAAAAATTGGGGGTGATTTCGGAGCCATGTTTTGAAAAAACCATGGGCTATAGCCTTGAGAATTTTAGCGTTTTCTTAAAATGGCCAAATTGAAGTCGGAATCAGCTCAAACTTTCTACATAGCATAAGGACATCAATACATATCGCATAATGGCTTATATAAGTCAATTCACACCTTCTTGTTTCTCATTGGTGATTGTTGTCTCAAAGCAATTTTTAACCCTTGCCTCTCTAGTTCCATCTTCTGTTAATATTTGACAGGGAATAGAATGAATAGGCAGGACAGGATGATTATCAATGTCTTCCACAATTACTGGAATGGGAGGAGAAGGAGGAGATGGTGAAGACATAACACCCAATGGCGCCAAAACCCGCCTATTTTCCCCGTTGATATCCGTAAATGCCAATTTCTTATCGTTATAATTATCCCACGTGCTCCCACGTGTCAGTGCAAACCCGTTCTCCGTTACTCTCCGGACTTGCCTCTCCCGCGGCCCTTCCTTCCGCGAACTTCCGTGCACGTGGTTCACCCATCATGGAGGATCAGGTTTGTTTATCATCTACACTTCATTCCTCTTTATTCCTCTCACCTATCCCTCTCCCTTTCCTTCAGCTGGTACAGTTAGAGCTCCTCTGCCACCAGTTATACGAGTCAAGTGATATAGTCACCAGACGCCGAGCAGAAAAGACTTTAGTTGCTTTCTCCGAATCGCCCAACTCCCTACCCCAGTGCCAGATATTACTAGAGAACTCACAGGTATATTGACTGATATTCCTGTATGAGTATATTACTATCCCCTGCAGTCTCCATATGCATTGCTATTGGCTGCATCAACACTCACTAAGTTAGTTACTAGCCCAACCTCTTCTCTCTCATCTGATGACAGACTACAATTACGTGAGTTGATCCTTGATTGCATCAGTGATTTGTATCAGGATATGTCAGTTTTTGCATCAATGAATCAGCGTTTGCATTATGGACGTGCATGTCAGCTTATCAGTATTGCAATTGCATCAATGATCATGTCAGTGAATTAATATCAGTGAATCAGTGTTAGTATCAATGAATCAGTGTTAGCTAGCATTCAGTACACTTGTAACTGAAATTTATGCTTGGTCACTCATTTGGCACATCATTCTATCATCTTTACTACAAAAATGAACTACAATCATGAATGGATGGATAATAATGCATTTTTATAGTTTTTACATGTACTTTGTTAGCTCTAAACATTCTTTTTTTAGGTAATTATATTTTACAATACTTAAGCACTCGCATTAGTTTAACCCCCTACGTTGTCCGAGCACTAGTACAGCTAATAGCCAGGATTAGTAAACATGGCTGGTTTGATAATGACAAGAGCAAGGGATTCATGTTCAGAGACATACTCGAAGAAGTCGGGAAATTCCTTCAAGTAAACAACTCCAGACATGCTCCATAAACATGATCTTATGACTGTTTGATGACTTTTGCTCGTGCGCATGAATGTCTATTTTTGTTCTAAATGTTTTTGTTGTTTGCGAGAAGCTTTTTGCAATGATGGTTTAGCCATTTAATTGGAATGTAAGGACTTTCCTTTTAAGCCTTGATTAATTTTTTTTATCATAGTATAGATTTATTTGTGAATTTTATTTAGCTGTAATTTTTATCCTATGACAAATTTAAATATCATACAGGACAAATTATAACTTTTTTGTATCACTTTGTATTCTTAGGGTTCAGCTGCACATTGTGTAGTTGGTATTCAGATATTATACGAGTTAGTTCAAGAGATGAACACTCTTGAGAGTACCCGAACACTCGCTAAGCATCGTAAAACCGCCGGGTCCTTCCGTGACGAGTCTCTCTATAACATATTCACACTCTCAACTACTTTACTACGACAGGTCAACATTTCAGACGAGCAACAGGTCAGTGATGCCTTATTGATCGTGGGTGTGGTCGCATAGTTGAGTGACCACACCCATCTATAGTTCATATCCATTGTTTTTGTATTGTGGTGGTAGTTGTGGTGCATTTATATTTTTAACGGGACTTACCCTTTTCCTTATTTTGTTATGCGTATTATCATCTCACCTTTTCCTTTCAATATAGCAACCTCTGGTTGAGTGGTTACTGAAGCTTTGCTCAATTTGTCTCTCTTTCGATTTCATTGGAAACTCAACCGACGAATCCTCAGATGATCTCACCACGGTTCAGATACCGACCGCTTGGAGGCCTTTATTTAGAGACTTCTCTACTCTACAACTTTTCTTTGGGCTCTTTCATTCTCTCCCACCAAGACTGGCCACATATGTAAGTATTTAGAAATTGTGTCCATATTTTTATATTTATTAAATTATATTTTAGTCTGTATCGTGCCTTGTCCAATTGGCTAGTGCCAGGCGCTCGCTGTTCAGTAATTTGGAGAGAGCCCAGTATCTGGAGCAGCTGGTGAAAGGAGTTCAAGCAATATTAGAATCACCTCAAGTGAGACATATACCTTTAGTCACCTCTCTCTCTCTCTCTCTCTCTCTCTCTCTCTCTCTCTCTCTCTCTCTCTCTCTCTCTCTCTCTCTCTCTCTCTCTCTCTCTCTCTCTCTCTCTCTCTCTCTCTCTCTCTCTCTCTCTCTCTCTCTCTCTCTCTCTCTCTCTCTCTCTCTCTCTCTCTCTCTCTCTCTCTCTCTCTCTCTCTCTCTCTCTTTACTTTTTCTCTGCCTTTCTCTTTATTAATTCACACACTAATTAATAATGATTTAGTATGATACTGTATTTATTATAGTTTTATTTATTTTTCTCTCTCTCAGTCCCTCTCCAATGCTGAGTGCTATCACGAGTTCTGTAGACTGCTAGTGAGACTAAAGTCAAACTATCAGCTAGGGGAACTCATGAAGTTGGATCAGTATCCACAGTTCCTGCAGCTAGTAGCTAAATTTACCATATCCAGTTTACAGGTGAGTAGAATAAGACAGATATGTGACAGGGAAATCAATCAAAACTAAGTCACATCAGGAAAATTGAGATGATATATCTTGTATTTATTATTATTTTTTTGATTTAGAGTTGGCAGTTCTCGTCCAACAGCGTGCATTATTTATTGAGTCTCTGGCAGAAGATGGTTGGGAGTGTACCATACATCAGAGCACAGGACACTCACTTATTGAACACTTACGTGCCAGAGGTATGGAATGTAGAACTTAAAATAATTTTTGTACAATTGTTGAATGTCTAATCGAAGCCTTATCTTTCCTCTCATAGATAGTAAAGGTGTACATTACTTCAAGACTTGAGTGTGTTGAGGGAGTCCTAAGAGATGATATAGAGGACCCATTGGACGATGATACTGCACTTGGACAACAACTGGACCAACTTAGTGTCATTGCTAGGTACGTGAGTATTTTTTACCAAGTGATTGGTCATAATTTGATTATAGATAGATTTACTTGTATGTATTATTTTGTATTTTTTTTGTATTGTTGTTTTTTATGTGTGCAGGTGTGATTACCACAATACATGTGAACTATTGATATCGTTGTTTGATACTTCGGCCAGTAACTATCAGCAATTGTTACAATCGAGTTCGACTCGCAACGAAAATGAGCTCTCTCTCAGAGAAGGTGGGAGAGGCTGTATATTTGATTTTTAAAATTATTATTAATTATTAAATTAGGCCAGTTGGCTTGGCTAGTACATTTGATAGGTCACGTGATTGGAGGTCATGTGGCTCACTCTAACTCTGGAGCATACGACAGTATCGATGGGCAACTGGTCTGCAGGTAAGTTATTAATAATAGCTATTCAAATTGATTATTAATAGTAGTTATTAAAAGTAATTTTCTGTTGTAGGGTGCTACAGTTAATGGATCTAACTGATGCTCATTTATCTCAGGTTTGATTTGAAATAAATTTCTGGGTGTGGTTTTATTTTGGGTGTGTCTCTCGTGTAGAGAGGGTCGGAGCACCTGGACATTGCAATCATTGGGTTCTTTGAACAATTTCGTAAATTCTACATTGGGGAAATGATACACAAATCGGCTCAGGTATAATCATTAATTAATTACTAATTTAAATATGTTGAGTACATATTTTTATGTGTAGGTGTATAGAACACTCGGAGAGCAGCTGGGTTTAAATGACGAAACAATGGTACTTAATGTAATCGTCAGGAAAATGTAATTAATTAATTATTACGTACTCTAATTAATTATTTAATTGATTGGGTGTGGTCAATCATTTTTATAGTATAACTAATCTCAAGATGTGGATGAGGAGTCAATCTATAATGACAAAGACGCTAATGCTGTTACAAGACCTATCGCTGGGTTTCTCCAGTGTTAGGAAATTATTTAAATTGGACTCCATTCAATTCATACTAGCAAATCATAATGTAAGAATCACACTCTAGAAAATATCAGTTATTACTGGCCCAAATTCACTGAATTCCCATTGCATAATAGAATTATAGAAGAGTAAAATTTTTAAGGAATAAAGTTTTGTGTTTTCACACAAGGTTTGCAAAAAGTATTAGAAATTTTGAGCCACAAAAATTTTCATATATTGGAGCTGTTACTCCTATAATTTCCCTCTTTTTCTGTTTTTATTTCTCTCTATCTTTCATTTATGATTTTCCTGCAGGCAGAACACTTCCCATTCCTTGGTATAGTGACCAGCGATCAGGTGGACACAAGATGTAGGACAGTGTTCTACACAGCATTGGGTCGACTGTTGATGGTAGAACTAGGAGAGAACGAGGAAAGATTCACACACTTCATGACACCAATAACCAGTAAGCAAGTATCATTAATATTATTGTAATAATTATTATTGTTACAATTTGTAGTTATTTTTTTAATTTTTAAAAATTGGATCAGTAAATTACTAATGATTAATCTACCTCTTTTTGATACATAATGGATTGGTAATCATTTCTCATTTTTAGATACACTCGAACAAGTAAAGACAGCTTTAAGTGGACAGACTGTACTCAGCGAGCAACAAATTAAAGTAGATGCCACACTATCTTTCTATACAGCGCATGTACCTAATTGTATCTTCACAGCAAATGATAGTTGGAGCTGCCAGAGATTCAAGAGGCATACTGATTGCTTTCAGTAACAAACAAAGTTATGGACTCTTCTTTGAATGGATGTATCCTCCTCTGTCTCTTGTATATAAAGATATACAATACAATGTATAGAGATATGGTACAGAAATACCAGGACTTTGGCATAGTGCTCATATTTTGTCAAAATTGAAAAGCAGAGAATTCTTTATTTTTATAATTTTTTCTGATGCACATACATGTTCTTATGTTGTGCAGAAAGTCTGAGCTGATTCTGATCAAAATTGAATTTTTTATGAATTTTTAAAGTTACTCAAAAATCAGACCAAAGTCCCTGTACTATAGTACAGGGTTTTTGGCCAAATTTTGCCAAAAATCAAAAGTAGAGAATTCTTCACTTTTATAATTTTTTCTGATGCTTATACATGTTCTTATATCGTGTAGAAAGTTTGAGCTGATTCCGAGCAAAATTGAATTTTTTATGAATTTTTAAATTAGCTCAAAAATTGGGCCAAAGCCCATATACTACTATTTTAATGCTTGTCAGCTCATGAAGCGTGCTTTGTGGGAAATATTACTTACAAATATACATGTGGTCTGGCACTTTATCTAACTGGATATGTTCTTTTTTTCTTAACGTTATTCAATTACTAGTTATCCTAACTATGTCAGTATATTTGTCGAGGCACTGAGACTTTGGTATCTAGACTCGTTTGTGACCACGCCCACTTTAAAACTCGTAGCAGAATTAGCACAGAATAGGTACAACATAAAAACCGGTTCTAAAACCTGTTTTATTGGCTCATTACCCTATAGGTCTCAGAGACTAACGTTTGACGTGACGTCTCCCAATGGAGTCCTCTTGTTCCGTGAAGCATCAAGAACTATAGTCACTTATGGTGGCCAAATACTAACAGTAGGAGACATACCAGAAGAAGAATTGTACTCTAGAAAGTACGTAAATCATCATTACAGCTGGACTGATAAGGTTTCCCTCTCTTTTTATCTTAGGTTAAAGGGGATAGCAATCTCGTTTTCTCTTCTCAAGTCCTCCCTTTGTGGTAATTATGTCAATTTTGGTGTCCTTAAACTTTATGGTGACACTGCTATGGAGGACGCTATGAACATCTTTGTAAAGCTACTGATATCACTTCCCTTGAAAAACTTACTGGTACGCATCCTCAATCCTCCTTTTACAATATAATTATCTATATTCTTCTTTTCTCCATCACACTTGTAGGATTATCCTAAGTTAAGTGCTTCGTACTATCCTTTACTGGAAGTTCTCACGCAACATCATATGGAATTTATTAGCACACTTGAACCTAATGTATGTAAATCAACGAGTCAATGACTATTTTGATAATTAATAATTAATAGGTTATTATATATATAATATCATCATTATCAGAAGGACTCTCATCACTAGGTAAGACATTCTTAATTGGCCCCTAAAATATCATTAAATTTTCCATGTTGAACTTTAGTGTAGACTGTATTAAGAATTAACTTATTATTATTATTATTGATTTTTGTTGTTATTATTATCTTAGATACATCAGTTTGCACTGGTTGCTGTAGCTCATTGGATCACATATTAACATTCTTATTTAAAAAACTAAATAAACAGAAAACGGGAGGAGGAGGGGGTGGAGCATTCACGCCTTCTTATGCTCTGCTACAATTACCACAGGCCAGACCCGAAATATTACAAGTAAGGAATATATCACAGTTTTAATTGTAATTTTCATCCATAATGAAATGTGAACCTCCTTTATATCATTGGATTATTTATTTATTTATTTTCTAGGACATGTTAAATTCAATATTAAATACAGTGATGTTTGAGAAGTGTCGCATCCAGTGGTCAATGTCACGCCCACTATTAGGACTTATATTACTTAATGAAGATGTTAGTTTTAGTATTTATCATATTGTTACTATTTTTAGTATTTTATAATAATTGTTACTATTTTTAGTATTTTAAAACACTACGTGATCAGATAGTCTCACTTCAGCCACTAGAGAAGCAGAGCTCAATGTCAGTTTGTTTTGATAACCTCATGGATGGGATTGAGTACAACATGTCCACTAGGAACAGAGACAAGTAAGCTAATGTTACTATGGGAAGAAGAAATTATAGAAAATGGTATAGTGTATTTTGATTGAACTGAGCTTTATTTGCCAAAGGGATTAACTCATTATTAAATTCATTGATAGGTTTACTCAGAATCTATCAGTGTTCAGACGTGATCTAACAGTATCAATGAAAGATTCACAAGCTGACATGATGAATGAATCACTACCACCTATGATGATGACATGAATTAATGCATTCACACAGACACACACACATACACTGATTAGTAATTATTATTATTGTTATTGTATTATATTATTGTATGAATTTTTGTGTTGTATTGTACTACTATTTGAACTGTGTACTTGCTACTGTTTCCAGATGTACATGTAGGTATTCTTGTAGCTGTTAAGACTACTGAAAAAACAGCTAAGCATCTTCAGATCCATATTATTTAATAAATAATATTTTATTGAGTAGCAAAAGTTAATTATCATCAATTAAGTTTATTGTAAGACTCAAGAGCAATGTTCCTCAATCTTTCAGCATTGTTAGGTCCAGTCTGCTCCACTAGTTTACTGAGATATGATGATGATTGACTGAGGAGTATATGAGGTACATCAAACTCTATCAGTTTACCTGATTTCAGTATCTATAGTAATAATCTAAATGAGATTTGGACACAATTACTTATATTATACCATAATCCTGTCAGAGTCCATGACAGTATCCAGTCTATGAGCTATAGTTAGTACAGTATAATCAGAGAACTGTTCACGTATCACTTG